CAGACACCCCTCTGCTGTGGGTGGCTGTGGCGAGAGCCACACCCTCTAGGGGTGGGCACCGGGAAGGAGAGGCTGTTTGGAGGCCCTGTGCACGGCCAGGAGAGCAGGGGTTGCAGGCACAGGCCATGTTGTCCACACTGCTCCCTGTTCAGGAGCTTTGCTGTGGCTTCCAGACAGCCAGGGTCTCCGCCACCCCTGGGTGAAGCTCGGTCGGCAGCGCTGGTGGCGCTGGGTGCTGCCTCCTGCTGCCTGCCCGCCCCTGCCGCCTGTGGCCCCCGCCCCCAGGCGTTTGTTCTCTGCACTGCGCTGGTGCTGGGCCTGCTTCCTGGGTGCCGGGCCCTCCCCTCCCCTTCCCACCTGGCTGCGCTCCCCTCGCCTCCAGTTTCCCCTGCGGGTCCTGTGGTGCCACCTACAGGTGTGTGATGTGGCCTCTCTCCCAAGTGAGCGCGGAAGGTTGGGGAGGTGAGTGGGTCCCTGGGGCCTGTCTGGCTCCGAACAGGCCCCGCCGGGGGTTCTCATCCTTCTCTCCCTCTCTGCGCACATGCCTTTCCCTTCTTTCTGGCGCATGTGGGACACCGCCTCTGTCCCTGCAGACGGCGCCTTCTGTGGGCTTTGGTTAAGGGTTCTGCCGACCTCGGAGCCCCCTAGTACCTGGCCCGGCCGCCTGCTCGCCTGGCCTTGGTCGGGTGCTGTTTCTCACTCTCAGTGGGTGGGTTTGCTCCTGCGGGCGGTAAAGAGTCTTTGGGTGCTGAATAAAGAGGGTGAAAATGTTGGCATATATCTTTCTTGGTAAAAATTAAAACAGTGAGTCCTTTTAATGCAGAATGAAGGCTGTCACAAATACTTGGAGCAATAGCACTGTTTTTGGAGTGTGTTGTCACTGTGAGTACAGCCTCTGCTTGGATATGCGAGTCTTGGTATATTATGTAAAAAACAAGTATCACTTCTCCATAGCTGCATCCAGTAAAACAAGGATGCTCCCGGCGTGTACAGAGGTCATCTTTTATTGTTTAAGTATCAGTGTGGGTTGTGTGAAGCTTTTGTTAAAATGGTGGTAATGGTGCTCCTCTCACAAGTTGTACAGTTAGGATGGGGCCGGTTTAGACTTCATCTAGGATATCAACTTTGCGTCCGAACCCTGCCTTTTCTGGCACGTGCCTCAGCATCAGGCAAATGCCTAGGCGTCAGGGACCTACAGGCCTGGGGTGGAGTCCCGGTGCCGCAGCCGCCCCAGGGTCCGCGTGCCGTTTGTCCCCTGCCATTCGAAGTGTGCGATTCATCAGCGTGATCCTGGCCTAGGACCCAGCCTTCCGGAACCCCATGTCCTTATTTTTAAATGTGGGCAGGAATAATGCCCACCTTAGGAGGTCTTTTTTTTTAATTAAAAATTAATTATGTTAAAATACACACACAGTCTGCCATCTTAATCTTTTTTAAGCGTTCTAATCTCCAGGACTTTTTCATCTTGCAAAACTGAAACTCTGTACCTATTGAACAACTCCCGGTTGCTCCTCCTGCAGCCCCGGGCAACCTTCATTCCCCTTGCTGTCCCTTAGGAGTTTGACCCTTCCAGGTACCTCATATAATTGGAATCACACAGTATTTGTCTTTTTCTGTTTGGTTAATTTCACTTAGCATGATGTCCTCAGGGTTCATCCATGTGTCAGAATTTCCATACTTATTAAGGCTGAATAACATTCCATTGTGCGAATGCACCATGTTTTGTTTTATCACTTTGTTCATTCACGGACACTAGGGCAGCGTCTACCTTTTGGCTGTTGTGAGTGATGCTGCTGTGAGCGCGGCTGTCCGAACGCCTCTTGGAGACCCTGTCCTCGGTTCTTTTGGGTGCGCACCCAGAAGTGGAGCTGCTGGATCAAGTGGTGATTCTTTTTTAGTGTTTTGAGGAGCTACGTTCCCCAGCAGCGGCCTCGCTTTATGCCCCCGCCCCCGCCGACGGCCTGCCCGGGCCCTCATTCCCCCGCCCCCTTGCCACGCCTGTTCTGTCCCGGTTGGTTTTTTTACAGCGCCCGTCCTAATGGTACAATGAGGTGCTATCTCATTGTACTTTTGATTTACAGATTCCTGCTCCTTGATGATACTGAGCATTTTTTTATGTGCTTGTTGACCATTTAAATATCTTCGTTGAAGAAATGTCTATTCTGATCCTTTTCCCATTTTTTAATTGAGGTTTTTATTGTTGAGTTGTGAAAGTTCTCTAAATATTATGGATATTAACTACTTACCAAATTTGTGATTTGCACATTTTTTCTCACATTCCATGGGTTGGCTCTTCACGCTATTGAGTGTGTCCTTTGATGCACAGAAAGCTTTTTATTTTTATGTAGTCCAGTTTATCTAATTTTTTCTTCTGTTGCCTGTGTTTTTGTGTCATATCCATGCAATTACTATTAAATCCCATGTTAGAAGGCATTTTTAAAAAATGTTTTCTTCTAAGAGTTTTACCTGGTAAGTTTACGTCTTTTATCCATTTTGAGTTAATTCTCTTTTGTGGTGTAGGAAAAAGGTCCACTTTCATCCTTTGGCATGTGGAGATCAGTTTTCGCAGCACCATTTGTTGAAAAGACTGTGCTTTTCCACTGAATGGCCAGGAAGTCGTTCTGTGGTTGAAATAAAATATTGTTCACAAAGCACCTAACACCCTGCCTCACTGTGTCTTAAAAAAGTGATGGTCCCTCTCTCTTCCCCCTTATTCGAGATGTAGTTTTTAACTACTGAAGTTGATTATTAAAATTATAATAGCGACTACCAAGTAGTACCGACTGTGTTAGGCTCTATTCCAAGGGCTTCTCTCACACACACACACACACACACACACACACACACAGCGTCACACTAATCTTCACTCAAGGATATGTTTACTGATTTTGGGTGGGGGAGACATCTATGTGAGAGAGAAACATTGATTGGTTGCCTCCCGTACATGCCCTGACTGGGATCAAACCTGCGGCCTTTTGGTGTGCAGGATGACGCTCCAACCAACTGAGCCACCTGGCCAGGGTGGGCTTTACACTGAAATGTCGTAACAACTCTATGGGGTTGTTTATAAATGAGGAAACGGGGCACAGAGAAGTTAAGTAGTTTTCCCAAATCACATAGCTGGTAAGCGGTGGAGCCTGTATTCAAACCCAGGTAGTTTGGCTTTAGAATCTGTGGGCTAGTAAACTTAACATCTCCCTGTTTGGGTGTTTTTCTTTTGGCTGGGTGCAGTAAACTTTATTGAAGGTGCATGACAGGGCAGGGCTCCCTAAGCCCCTCCCCTTCCTCAGGGGTCCTGGGACGGAATCTGTGGCGCTCAGGAGATTCTCCGTGTGTTGGGCATTGATTTGGGCGAGGACTCCCTAGCAGCTGAGGGCCTCTCCTCCTGTCGCTGGGGCTGGTGGTCCAGGGGGCTCTTACTCCTTGGAGGCCATGTGGACCATAAGGTCCACCACCCTGTTGCTGTAGCCAAATTCATTGTCATACCAGGAAATGAGCTTGACAAAGTGGTCACTGAGGGCCATGCCAGCCCCAGCATAGAAGGTGGAGGAGTGGGTGCCACTGTTAAAGTCGCAGGAGACCGCCTGGCCCTCAGTGTACTGCAGGGTGCCCTGGAGGGGCCCTCCGATGCCTGCTTCACCACCTTCTTGATGTCATCGTATTTGGCAGCTTCCTCCAGGTGGCAGGTCAGGTCCGCAGCCAACACATTGTGGGTGGGGACACGGAAGGCCATGCCAGTGAGCTTCCCATTCAGCTCGGGGACGGCCCTGCCCGCAGCCTTGGCAGCACCAGTAGAAGCAGGGACGGTGCTCTGGGCAGCCCCTCGGCCATCAGTCATAGCTTCCCAGAGGGGCCATCCACGGTCGTCTGGGTGGCAGTGCTGGCACGGACTGTGGTCATGAGTCTCTCCACAGTGCCAGAGTTGTCACGGTGACCTTGGCTGGGGTGGGGGACAAGCAGTTGGTAGTGCAGGAGGCGTTGCCAACAACCTTGAGTGAGTTGTCATGCTTGTTGTGGTTCATACCCATCACGAACATGGGGGCATCGGCAGAAGGGGCAGAGGTGACGGCCCTCTTGGCTCCACCCTTCAAGTGAGCCCCGGCCTTCTCCATGGCAGTGAAGACACCGGTGGGCTCCACAGCATGCTCAGCACCGGCGGCAGCCCATTGGATGTTGGCGGGCTCTCGCTTCCAAAGACGGGCCTTCCGTTGCTGGCAAGCCTCCTGCTTTTACCTTGACTGTGCCTTTGAACTTGCCATGGGTGGACTCTTGCTGGAACATGCAAACCATGTAGTTGAGGTCAGTGAAAGGGTCACCGATGGCGACAGTATCCACTTTGCCAGAGTGAAAAGCAGCCCTGGGGACCAGGTGTCCAATACGGCCAGACCGGTCCACTCCGCCCTTAGCACCACGTCTCAGGGGCGTGGCTGCTTTCACCCGGCTGTGTAGGAAGACGTGGCCGTCCGCCGTCCGCCATCCGGGAGGAGCAGAGAGCTTTGAGTGATTTTTAGTAGCACAGGCCTGTCATGAGCTTTCCAGTCTGGAGTTTGGCGAACGGGGGACAGTGTTAGGACGTCGGCCTCCAGGCCCAGATCTCAGGCGGGGGGCTCTCTTGTCAGAGCAGGACCCGCAGAACTGCTCTGTTGGCTCCGACCATCTGTTTGGGAGAGTGTGGTGGTTCTGGTCCCTTCCTGTTTCCTGCCAGGGCCCCTTGTTCAGGAGAAAGTCAACTGGTTTTCCGCCCTGGCTGGTGTGGCTCAGTAGATTGGGTGCTGGCCTGCAAACCAAAGGGTCCCCGGTTGATTCCCAGTCAGGGCACAGGCCTGGGTTGCAGCCCAGGTCCCCAGTAGGGGGGCGCGTGAGAGGCAACCACACATTGATATTTCTCTCCCTTTCTCCCTTTCTTTCTCCCTCCCCTCCCCCCTCTCTAAAAATAAGTAAATAAAATCTTTTTCTTAAAAAACAAGAAATGTCAACCAGTTTTCTCTCTGACTTTACAGAAAAGGCCACAGATGGCTCCTTGCAGAGCGAGGACTGGACGCTGAACATGGAGATCTGCGACATCATCAATGAGACAGATGAAGGGTACGTGGTCCCCCCCCACCCCCCAGAAGCTGTCAGCTCCTGGTGAAACTCAAATCCTGTCTGGGCTTAAGGGTGTCAGGTATTGTACTTTTTGTTCTGTTTTTAGCCTGTCTTGGCATTTAATACCTGACACCCTTGATTCTCTTTCCTCTTCCTTGCCAGTCCGCCCCACTCCCCCAGTGACAGCGTGGAGTTCGAGCGCCGGTGGCATCTTTCAATAACCTGCATTTAATCACAAGGGAGAATGAAGTTGCTTGGTTACCTGGAGCCCAGCGGTTGTCGGTCTCTGTGGCCAGATCAGTCCCTCGGCCCCCCTCTCCTTCCTGACCTCTGCTCTCCCTTCGCAGACGTGAGGCAGTGTCTCCCTGCTTTGCTGGACGACGGCCTGGCCGTGGGAGAGAGGCCGCCGTGGCCCGGGGGGAGGCAGGCCGTGAGGGAGAGCGCGTGGTGCCAGGGCAGCCGCAGGCCCTGCCGTGAGGGGCGACCACCCGCAGGCTGCGTGCGCTCGCACCCCTGCGCAGCCGAGGCTGCTGCTGTTGTTCGCGACAGGGCCCTGTCTACGTCTTGGCCTCATTCTCCTGCCGCTTCTTCCAAAGTTGCCTGTATTTGGCCCTCTGGCCACACCCTAAAACTGGAACCCACGTGGCCATGAAATCGTAAACCACCTCCAGAGCGGTAGGAGAGGAGCTGGACTCGGGCAGCCTGAGCTTGCACTGTGACCTGCCACAGCCTTGTCATGCACACAATGGGGGCCAGCCTCTCACGGTCGCCCCTGCTTTCACTCAGCACCTGCTCACTAAATGGTGACCTTGTGCTGGGCCCTGGTGTCCGTCCTGAGGACACAGCGGGGCACAGGGCAGGAGAGGGCTGGGGACTAGCAATTTTGAATGGAATAAGCAAGGAGAGCCTCACAGGTGCACCGAACAAAGACAGGAAGGAAATGAGGGGGTGAGGAGCGAGGATTCTGCCAGGGGAGAAGGCTCCAAGGGAGGAACAGCAAGCACAGGCGTCCTGGGACTGAGGGCGTCTGGTGTGTTTCAGAAATAGTAGGGGGGCCAGCAGGGCTGGAAAAGAGTGGGCGAGGAGGAAGGGGCCAGGAGGGGAGGTCGGAGATGTCCAGACCCAGGTGACACGGGCACCAGGGCCTCGGGCTTGACCCCAGGGGGCAGGAGGGCCCTTGGAGGGTCCGAGCAGAGCCAGGGCACGGTCTCACTCATTTCAGAGAGATCGTGCTGCCACCACGTGCGGAGTGGCCTGGCTGGGAACGGAGCGCGCCGCGGCAGACCCGGGGGCAGCAGGGTGGGGCACAGGGGTCACGGTGTGCAGGGAGAGCGTGCGGAGGGGCTTGTCGGGAACAGGTGGTTCAGGTCGGGTTGCCGAGAGCTCTCTTCCTGGGTCACCCCCCAGAGTTGGGCTGTACCCTCGGGTGACCCACTGACCTTTGCCTCTTTCCGTCTGTCTATCCTCCATGCTGCAGGCAGGGCTCTTAGAAACGCAGGACTAAGGAAATCACTCCCTTGCCAACAAGCCTTCTCTAGGGCAGAAATCCTCCACACACCCTGCTGGGTAACCTGGCCCCTCCGCCGCTCCATTTGGGGTCCGCTGCCCTTGTCCCCCCCTCAGCCCCACGGGTCTCTCAGTCCCCAGAGCTTTCCCTAGCCCTGTCCCCTGTTTGCAGCTCTCCACACACGGGAGGGATCTGGATACAAATGTGCTGGAATGGGGCCCCCCACTCCACAGGGACGGAGGTCCCTTTCCAAGGTGCGCAGTGGGGTCCACTGCACTCACGGTCCTCAGGGCCCCTTCCTGCTGAAGCGGCCCACACTCCTGTTCGTGCCCTTTTCAGAGGGCGCCCTCTGTGCCTTCTGGGACTTCCTGCCTTTGCCTCTGCTGTGAGGTGACTGCCAACCCTCTCCCCACATATCCAGCTGATGGTGGGTGCCCTGGCCACTTCATCCTGCTTCCGGGCTGCAAGTCTAGCGTTCCTTCTGTCCCTCCCGCCACCGGCTGTTTTTTTCATTTACTGTACCCCATTTCCCTGACACCCTCCCTCCTGACTTGGACAAGTGCCCTGTTATGTGACTTTGTAAATACCCTGTGTTACACTCACACTCATCACAGTTTAAACTTACATACGTGCATGACGTTTGTTAGACTGTCTGTCTCATCCCCAATCCCCTCTGGGCTGTGTGCTCCATGTGGGCAGGAATTCTGTTACCACTGTTTTATCCCCGGCGCCTAGCATAGTACACATGTAACTGGCTTTTGATGAACATTGGTTAACTAAGTGAATAAATGAATGAAGTCCCTGTGAGGAATGGAGGCGTGTGACTATAATCATAACACAGTGTGACAAGTACTCTGAGAAAAGCTTAGAGAGCCAGCCAGAGGGACTGGCCCAAAGGCAGCGAGCCAGCCCTGGGGCCGTCGGCAGGAGCGGACTCTTGGAGGAGGGGCGCCCAGGTGGAGTCCTGGGTCTGCCAGGTGAGGAGGTGGATGGCAGCGGGGGCGCACACAGCATGGGGGTGTGGTGGGGTTAGGGCCAGGGGGCCGGGCCACCAGCCTGGTCTGGAGACCTAGGGCCTCCGCCCACTTGTCGTGTGGCCCTGGGTGAGTCACCTAATCTCTCTGCGTCTCGGGTTCCTCATTAACAAATAGGGGCACCCGCAGTGCTATCGCGTGGGTTCCCCTCTCCTCGCGATAGCAGGCAGACTGCCGCTCCTCGTCTGCCTCCCCTGAGCCCTCTCCGGGCCGCGCCCCGTGCCGCAGGGCCAGTCCCTGTTAATGTTGAGGGCACTGAGGCCCAGGGTCGTTTGGTCGCTCACCGCGGGCCGCCCGCCGCGGGCCCCCCGCCACGGGCCCCCCACCACAGCTATGAAGGGCAAGGTGCAAGCCTAGGCAGACCTGGCTCCAGCCCCCAACACCCTGCCTGTGCATCTCTTCTGCATTCAAGAGTTCTGCGTCTGCGGGGCTGGGGTCCTGACCGGCGCCCGCAGGCCCCTCCCTGCACCTCCCCGATGTCCAGCGCTCAGGCTGCCTCCAGCCTGAGAGGCTGTGTGTGGCAGTCCCTTGTGTCCTGGATCCTTGGTCATTAACAAGAGGTGCCTGGCCGAGTTGCCTACCCAGCGAGGTTTAGGCCCTGTTTGCCAGGCCTCTCCCAGAGCTACCTAATGAGGGCACAGGCACGTGGCTTTGGTAAGCCGCTCCGGTTCTGCTGTGCGGCTCCGGTGATGAGGACCCACTACCGGGTCCTGTCCTTTCGATGAGTCGCTGGATGCTCCCAGCTCCCTGAAGCTCTGTCTGTTCCCCAGCCTCTAGGCAGGAGGGCGCAGAGGAGGAACCGCGGGGTAAGTGCTGTAGAGCAAGAGAATAGTGGAGTGCAGGTGGGGCAGGAGGGAGCGGAGGTGTTCAGGGTGAGGGACGGGGGCAGCCGTGTCCTCCCCCGGGAATAAGGAGGAAGCATGTCTGAAGTGGCAGTTCTGGAACTGAAGGACAAGATGAGTTCAATATGACAGGAAAGGAGGTCTCTTACGAGTCTGGGGTTTGAGGTGACTTTGGGGAGCCTGAAGGCAACCCTGAGGCCAGAGCCGAGGCCCTGGGGGCAGCCCGGAGGGGCCCAGCCTTTTTTCCCAAAGCTGCCGGGGTGTGGGGGCATCTCGCATGTGGTGTTGTCCCCTGCTTCTTCCTGCTCCATCGCGGCTCTTGATTCTTCTCTCCTTTCTCTGTTTCCACCCCCTTGCTGTCTAATCTGCTGCTGCTGCTTGAAACTTTGCAATTCCTCTGACATACCTTTGATCCTCCTCTCTGAAGCTGCTTCCCCGGGGAGAGAGATAAATACTTGCTTTTGTGCTCACCTAGTCATTCCCAGGCAGTACTTCCTGAGGATGAGTTTTCATTTTCACTCCAACCTGGAGCCTGCGACTCCGCGTTCCCGCCACCACCATTACCTCCCTGCCAGGACCACTCTGGCGGCGCTGCGCTCCCTGAGTCGTGTGTGACTGCACCCTGAGGCCCTTTCCCCTCTCTGCTCCATGGAGGTTCACGAGGCGAGGGAGAAGGCCCGACTGAGGGCTGGCAGCCGTGGGCCCGGGCCGGCCGTGGCTTGGCAGAGCCCTTGAGAGACGAAACCAATCAGTGCTCTTGGCCAGTAGCTGCTCACCTTCACCAGCTCGAGTTCACTACCAATCCTCAAAGCCAAGTGCTTGTCTAGTGCCGTGTTTGCGGAAACCAGCAGTCCTGTTGGGAAGCTGCAGCCGTCCTGGGGACACACTTGGCGAGGACCCATTCCCCAGGGAGCCTTGTCCTGTCAGCCCTTGGACTCAAGAGCCAAGAATTCTTGCAGGCAGCTGTTTTTCAAGTTGGGAACGGGAAAGAGGTTCCCAGGTTTTTAAGTTCAATGTTTAATTCCTTTTGCTCTCTTTCTTATTAATAACTAGTTAACTGCCTACAGTAACAGAAGCCTTGCCTTGCTACAGTGTGTTTCTGTCTAAGTTGGGCTGATAAGCAGAGCTTCCACCCCGCACCTCCAGCTTCCTCATACACATCTGAAAGGACTTTTTCACTTGGTCACTAGATGATAACTATTTTAGAGCTGGAAGATTAGGGGGTCGTTGCCTTACCAACTTTCAACTTTGGAGAGACCCAAAAGGTATACTGACACGTCAATGTGTAGGAGTGTGGGGCCCACGTGTGAGAGCGGCAGGCGGCCCTGCAGCTGGACTGGGGCCCCGAGAGCTCAGGTGAGGGCATCCATGGGGGGGCCGTCATGCCAGCGGGGGCTCTTAGTGCCACACCTTTGTTTATCCTGATTCGAATAAATTAAGTAAGATGTTATACACAAGAATGGCACCTAATGGGCACTCTTAGATGGCTGGCTGGGGACTCCAAGGCCCTGCTCTGACAGTGACTTAAGGAAAGCTGTGTTCCAAGTTCTAAATAATCAGCATATAAGTGAGCTTTTAAACATGGCCCGCTTGTAAACTGGGGACTGCCTATAATTCTGAGAGGTTATCTTTGGGAATCCACATTAGATCCATTACCTCAGAGCACCCAGCTCCTAGGTTTTGGGAAACACAGAAGTTTTCTCAGGGAAGAAGGAGGTCCATAGAACTGGGAAGGGCCTGAACATCCAGGCCTAAGCAGGGACCTGGCCGTTTTCTCCTTGGTTTCTTCAGGGCACCCACACAGCAGGGCGTTGGTTACTGTTTGGGATAAATAATGCTTGCATATGATACACATTTCAAAAGGGCTGCAAATGGACAATCCAGTGAAAAACTTGCCTGTCCCCTCTGTCACCCAGTTCCCCTACTAAGGGGCGTAGCTGGAGTTACCAGCTTCTTGTGGCTCTCTCCAGGGATTCTCTTCCCTGTGCGGGCGTGAGCACTGCGTGTGCGTGCGTTGTCCTTGTGTAACTCAAGGAGTGGTGCGCGCCGTGCACTGCTCCGCCGATGGCTCCATCCACAGTTGGCTCTATATTGGTGCATGAGGCATATCTGTTCTTTTTACTCGTATGTATGTATGTATATATGTATGTATGTATGTATTTATTATCTTTACCCGAGGACATGTTTATTAATTTTAGAGAGAAAAAGAAGGGGAGGTAGGGGAGAGAGAGATCAGTTGGATTCCTCCCACATGCACCCCGACCAGGGATGGAACTCACCACTAGCATGTGTCCTGATCAGAAATCAAACCCGCAACCCTTTGGCGTACGGGATGATGCTCCGACCAGCTGAGCCACCCGGCCAGGGCAAAGATGTCTATTCCTTTTTGCAGCTGCATAGTGTTCCATTATGTGGATAACCATAGTTTAATTTAACCTGTTTCATATTGATGAACATTTAGTTTGGTTCCCATCTTTCACATTTACAAACATGCTGCAGTAACTTTGTATATATGCTTGCTCACACAAATGGGAGTGAATTTGTAGGATAGGGCCCTGAAGCGTAATTTTCAGGGATCTTAATGTGTCCTTTTCTCCAGGCCAAAGGATGCCATTCGAGCCCTGAAGAAGCGGCTCAACGGGAACCGGAACTACAAAGAAGTGATGCTGGCATTAACAGTGAGTGCTGCCCTCCAGTGGGTGGGAGGGCCCCCCGCACATGCGTGCTCCCGTCTCGCCCCACTCCCAGGTCCTCCCCTCTGTCCACTCAGCACAGCCTCTTGCGTGTGCCGCTAGAGGCCAGTGGAGCCTTCTGAAGTGCCTTTGAAAAGGGGCAGGAACTTGAGTCTGGTGTGTACCAGCAGATGAGGCACCGGCAGCACTGACTGGTTCAGAGGCCTGGAACAGAGAAGCCCAAGGGGCCTGGGTGGGGCCCCCTGGCGGCCAGCCTGCTGTGAGACGTCTAGGCTGGCTGCCTCCCGAGGTGTCACTTGCCTCCAGAAAATGCTAACTTCCACCCCAGAACATGCCTGCTGCTGAGCTTTCCAGATGTTCATGCAGATGTTTGCAATAACCTTCCAAAAGAGGTTTCGTCACCCCCCTCACAGGGATGAAAAAACCGAGGCTCAGGGAGGTCTAGGGGTTTGCCCAGACCTTCCCCCTGTGAGGTGCCCTGCTGTGGACGCAGGAGTAAAGCTGGTCGCCACTGGGAGGGGCTTGGAGAAGCTGGCCATGTGACTCCTGTCAGGAAGGGACAGAGCAGGTTTTTGCCCTTCCTTAAAATGTCAGAAAATTAAAAGGGACAACTTCAGGTGTTAACCTCTGTCTTGAAAGCTAACAGTTTTCAGATGTGGCAACATGTGGGCCACAGTGAATCCTTTTTTTAAAAATGTATTTTTTATTTTTAAATTACAGTTGTACAATATTATTTTAGTTTCAGGTGTACAAGCCTGTGATTAGATATTTATGTAACTTAACAAAGTTATGATCCCGATAAATCTAGTACCCATCTGATATCACACATAGTTACTACAACATTATTGCTTATGTCCGCTGTGCTGTGCTTTATATCCCTCTGACTCTTCTGTAACAACCAATTTGTACTTCTAAATCCCTTCATTTTCTTCACCCATTCTCCCACCACCCCCTCCCATCCAGCAGCTGTCAAATGTTCTCTGTATCTCTGAGTCTGTTTTTTTGTTGTGCTTGTTTATTTTGTTAGGTTCTACACATAAGTGCAATGATCTGGATTTTTGTCTTTCTCTGTCTGATTTATTTCACTCAGCACAATACCCTAGAGGTTCATCCATGTTGTTGCAGAGGGCAAGATTTCATTCTTTTTTATGGCCAAGTCATATTTCATTGTATATACGCACCACTTCTTTTTTATCTGCTCATCTGTTCATGGACACTTAGGTTGCTTCCATATCTTGGCTATTGTGAATAATGCTGCAGTAAACATATGGATGCATGTCTTCTTAAGTTTGTTATTTTGGGTTTCTTCAGATAAATACCCATAAGTAGAATGTTGGGTACTTCTTTGTCTATTGTTATAGCCTTTGTTTTAAAGTCAATTTTGTCTTATCTGAGTATTGCTACTGCAGCGTTTTAGTATTTGTTTCCACTGAAATGAAATAATTCTTTCTATCCCTTTACTTTCAGTCTCTGCATGTCTTTCAATCTGAAGTAAGTCTCTGGTAGAAGCTTATATAATGGTCTTGTTTTGTTACCCTTTCAGCCACCATATATATTTTGATTGGAGTATTTAAAGTAATTGTTGATAGACAGGTATTTATTGCCATTTTCTTCTTCTTCTTCTTCTTCTTCTTCTCCTCCTTCTTCTTTCTTCTTCTTTCTTCTTCCTTCCTTCCTTCTTCTTCTTCTTCTTCTTCTTCTTCTTCTTCTTCTTCTTCTTCCTTCCTTCCTTCCTTCCTTCCTTCCTTCCTTCTTCTTCTTCTTCTTCCTTCTTCTTCTTCTTCTTCTTCTTCTTCTTCTTCTTCTTCTTCTTCTTCTTCTACTACTTCTTCTTCTTCTTCCTCCTCCTCCTCCTCCTCCTCCCCCTCCTCCCCCTCCTCCTCCTCCTCCTCCTCCTCCTCCTCCTCCTTCTTCTTCTTCTTCTTCTTCTTCTCCTCCTCCTCCTCCTCATTCTTCTCCTTCTTCTCCTTCTTCTTCCTTCTTCTTTCTTCTTCTTCTTCACCCTTTAACATTTCTTGTGATACTGGTTTGGTGGTGATGAAGTCCTTTAGCTTTTTCTTGTCTGGGAAGCTCTTTATGATGTTCTTCGATTCTAAATGTTAGCTTTGCTGGGTAGGGTAATCTTGGTTGTAGGTCCTTGCTTTTCATCCCTTAAATATTTCATGCCATTTCCTTCTGGCCTTCAAAGATTCTGTTGAGAAATCAGCTGACAGTCTTATGGGAGTTCCTTTGTAGGTGACTAACTGCTTTTCTTTAGCTGCTTCTAAGATTCTCTCAATCTTTAATGTTATTTTAATTATGATGTGTCTTGATGTGGGTCTCCTTTGGTTCATCTTGTTTGGGACTCTCTGTGCTTCCTGGACATGTGTGTCTATTTCCTTTAGCAACTAAGGGAAGTTTTCTGTTACTATTTTTTTAAATAGATTTTTTTAATACATTTAATGTTGTCCCAGAGGTCCCTTAAACTATCCTCATTTTTGGGGGAGGTTCTTTTTTCTTTCTGCTGTTTTGATGGGCATTTTCTGCTGCTTTATCTTCCAAATGTCATTCTTTACTTCATCTACTCTGCTGTTGATTCCCAATAATTTATTCTTCATTCCAGTTACTATATTCTTTCATTTCTGAGCAGGTCTTTTTTATGGTTTTTATCTCCATTTTTATGTTTCCTATCCATTTGTTGAAGTTCTAAGTTCCTCTGCTCTCTCCCTAAGTTCACTGAGCATCCTTGTAAGCTGTGCTTTGAACTGTGCATCTAGTAGGTTGCTTGTCTCCATTTTATTTAGCTGTTTTTCTGAAGGTTTGTCCTGTTCTTTCATTTGGGCCGTGTTTCTTTGTCTCCTAGTTTTGGCAGCCTCCCTGAGTGTGTTTCTGTGTATTAGGCAGAGCTGCTCCCTCTCCCGGACTTGGTAGGCAGGCCTTGTGTAGCAGGTGTTCTACTGGGGGGCCCAGTGGCGCCCTCCCCTGAGCTGGGCATTCCAGTTGTCACCCTCATGAGGATGGTGTGAGCCCTCCTGTTGTAGGTGAGCCTTGATTGCTGTTGGCGTGTCAATGGGAGCGATTGATTTCCCGGGCCAATGGGCTGTGAGTGGCTGTGACCACAGTGGAGGACCTGCTGTCAGGGCTGCCTCCACGGAGCAGACTCACGTTAGCAGGGTTCAGGTACCCACCAAGTCCACTCCTGGAGTGTGTTGCTTGCAGAGGTGGTTGGGTGGTGGTTTCACAAGGTCTTCAGCTGTTCACTAGGTGCATTATCTCTGGGCCTTCTGAGGGGTATAGGCCAAGGTCAGCTGCCACCTGTGTCCTGCCCAGGGCCACCTGGAATGAGCCATAAAGCTATCTGCAGATGGCTTAGAGGTTCCTGAGAGAGGCCAAGCTGCGAACCAAGGCCAGCTGCTTCTAGTGCTGGGCCTGGGGCCACTTAGCAGGAAGTACAGGGCACATAGAGGCCAGATGCTGTTTGTTTGAGATATTTTAGGAAAGTTGTCAGCATGAGCCAGGACAGGCCATTTGTATGGAAAATCCCCTGGAAAGGGTGGGGGTGAGCCCGGAAGGCAGAACAGGGTCTCAGGGAGTCTCCGGGGCAGGGTGAATGGCATTAGTCAGGTGGATGGAGTCTCAGATACAGTCCCTGTCTCTCAGCTCTGAGGGGGAGGGCTCAGCAAAGGAACAGTGGCCTCTGTCAGCACTTCTGTTGGGAGAAAGCTGTGCTTGGCTCTTGCCCTGATGCCAAACCATTCAGTTCCTCCCCATATGTCCCTGATTCCCAGCACTGGAGTTCAGAGGGAGTAAGTCTGAATGAGTCCATTCTGGCCCTTTGAGAGGAATACCTGGGACTCCAGAAGCCCCCCTCCTCACTCACCCGCAATCTCTGCTGGTTTTTACAGCCTGAAGGTATGGGGACTTCGCTTGCTGGCACTGGAAGCCTCAGCTGGGGGGCCTGGCTCCTCAAGAGGACCTGGGAAGCTGGGTGTGGGTCCTGCCCATTCTGCATCTCTGCTACCGCTACCAGTCTCGATGCGGCTTCTTTATATCCTTAGTTATAGAGCTTGTGCTCATCCGGATTTCAGGCTGTTCTGCATGGTGGTGGTTCTGTAGGTCAGTTGTAATTCTGATGTGGTCGTAGGAGGTTCCAAGTGCTGTGTTCGCGTGTGCCGCCGTCCTGACTGGGCACAACCTACAGTTAATTCTTATCACAGGATCTGTTGACAGGTCAGCACTGGGCTCCTCTGTAGGTTTGAATAGTTTGTTATTTATCCCAAACTGTTATAACATGTTTCCTTTTAAATACAGAGAAACCGTTTAGATTTTTTGCCCAAGTGAGAACTCGACATTAGAACATTCTCTTTGCCAGGGAATTGGGATTTGAATAATAAAAGAGAAAAAGACTGTTGAGAAAATAGGAAGTTGAAGGCTTTTTTTAATCCTTACCCAAGGACATGCTTATTGATTTTAGAGATAGGGGAAGGGAGGGAGAGAGAGTGGGGGAGAGACACTGATGTGAGAAACATTGATCGTTACCTCCCATACGTGCCCCAGCTGGGGATCAAACCCGCCACCTTCCAGTTTACGGGTGACGCTCCAACCCTCTGAGTCACACAAGCCAAGGCGAAAGCTTTTCTTCTTTTTTTCCCCAGAACTTGAGCCGTGGCACTCGTTAGACTCAGCCCCACGCGTGCACGCAGGCCGAGAGGCCCTGCCCAGCGCCCGTCCACACCGGGGGCTGCCGGGGGGCGGGCTGCCTGAGGGCGCCCCGCTCACCATCCCTGTCCCGGCTTCCCCCGCCCCGCACACCTGCAGGAGGCAGCGCCAAGCCCAAAATGTGCCCGAAATGGATTGCTGTCAGGAACTGAAATCACCAGGGAATGAACTCTAACACGTCAGGACATTTTCCTGGCATCTGAGATGTGTCCTTTACGTGCCCACCTTCATGGTGGCCGTCCTGGATAGAAACCTTTCCAAAGTGGGCTCTGCCTTTATTTCCTTCCTACAGCAGAGCAGGCTGGGCATCAGCTCATCTTTCCTGATGATCAGGTCTCATGTAGTATTATTATTTTCCCCCCAGCTTTATTGAAATGTTATTGACAAAGAACACATTTAAGTTTAAGGTGTACCATGTGATGATTTGGTACACATATATTGTAATATGATTACCACAATGTTAGTTAACACCTCCATTCCCCCACATCATTACCTTTTGTGTATGTGTGTGTCTATGGTGATAGTATTTAAGATCTACTTTCCTAACAACTTTCAAATATATACTACGATGTTGTTAATTATAGTCATCGTACTGTGCATTAGATTCCCAGGACATACTCATGTGATAGCTGCGAGTTTGTACCCTTTGATGAACATGTCTCTTTTTCCCCCAGGCCCTGGCAACCACCAATCAACTCTCATAAAGTTTAGCTTTTTCAGATTAGTACGAGTATGTAAGTGACCACGTACAGTATATGTCTTTCTCTGTCTGACGACTTTCACTTAACCTAATGACCTCCAGGTCCACCCATGTTGCAAAAGACAGGACTCTTCTTTTTGCGGCTGCACCATATTTTACTGTATGTCGTACACACCACACTTTCTTTACGCGTTCATCCATCAGTGGACGCTCAGGCTGTCTCCATGTCTACGCTGTTGTGAATAACACTGCCGTGAGTGTCGGGGTGCAGGTATCTTTTCAAGCTAGTGTTTTCTTGTCTTTGGATAAATACCGAGAAGTAGAATCTCTGGATTACGTGGTAGTTCTGTTTTTAGTTTTTTGAGGAATCTCCACGCTGTTTTCCACAGTGGCTGCACTGTCTGCATTCCCACCAAGAGTGCATGAGGGTTCCCTTCTCTCCACGTCCTCGCCAGCATTTGTTATTTCTCATCTTTTTGATGATAGCCATTCTGACAGGTATCTCATTGTGGTTTTGATTTGTATATCCCTGATAATTAAAGATGTCAAGGACCTGTTGGCCATTTATGTGTCTTTGGCAAAATGTCTATTCAAGTCCTTTGTCCATTTTAAAATAGAATTTTGGGAGGTTTTCTTGGTATTGGATTGTGTAAGTTCTTTATATATATTTTATATTGACCCCTGATAGTTTATAAATATGTTCTCCCATTCTGTGGGTTGCCTTTTTATTTTCCTGATTATTCTGTTGTAAAGAAACTTTTTAGTTTGATGTAGTACCACTTGTTTATTTTTGGTTTTGTTGCCTTTGCTTTTGGTGTTTTATCCAAAAAATCTTTGCCAAGATCAATGTCAAGGAGCTTTTTCCCCTGTTTTCTTTTAGTAGTTTTACATTTAAGTCTTTAGTCCATTTTGAGTTCATTTTTGTGAGTGGTGTAAGATAAGGGTTCAATTTTATTCTTTTGCATGTAGATAGTCCGCTTTCCCAACACCATCATCAAAGAGACTATCCTTTCCCTCATTGAGTCGTCTTGACTCCCTTGTCAAAAATTAGTTGACTGTATATGTATGGATTTATTTGTGGGCTCTTGATTCTGTTCCACTGGTCTGTGTTGACTTTTATGCAGGTACCACACTGTTTAGATTACTATAACTTTGCAGTATAGTTTGAAATCAGGCATTGTGGTGCAGGATTGCTTTGGCTACTTAAGGCCTTTTGTAGTTCTGCACAAATTTTAGGATTGCTCTTCCTATTTCTGTGAAATCTACAGATAGTTTTGGGTAGTACTGACATTTTAACAATATTAATTCTCCCAATCCATGAACACGGGATATCTTTTCTATTTATGTGTATCTTCAATTCCTCTCATCAATGTTGTATAATTTTCAGGGTACAAATCTTTTACCTTCTTAATTAAATTTATTCCTAAGTATTTTTTTAAATTTTAACAGTCAGGTCTTTGATGCAGATCCAGTGATGCTTCTGGGAGACCTCTTGTCTGCACATTTCAGAGTTCCTAATCTGGTGCCTGTGCTTGGCCCATGCCTGCATTTATGGCTTCCTTGTCTTTGTCTTCACTTACGCTATTAGTCACTCTCAGTTCTCAGCTTGGACCGTACTATATGGACGGAGGACTCCAGTCTCCCATTGCTTAGAGGCACCTTCTGCCAACTCCGTGGGCTCTGGCTGCGTTCTGGAAAATTGCTACTGTGTATTTCATGCTCTGCAACCCACAGGGACAGATTTTTCCAAGGGCCTTTTTGGCAGAGTGGCTCAAAGTGGTCTCTGGGCCTCCTTGGGCCGGGTGGTCCCCGCTAGCCCAGGCAGACTTCCTGCATCTCACGCCACCTCTGCCCGGGACACGTCAAAGCCAATGTATCTGAACTCCACAGTGCCTGGCCATAAAGGCTGCTGTGCGGGGAAGTATAAGGCTGCACGCCCCGCCCGCCCCCCCCACCCCCCGCGCCCTGCCCGCCCCCCTCCCCCGGCAAAGTGCCTCCTGGCAGGTGACCACCCTCCCCATTCCTTCCGCCATACCTGCTCTGCTCCAGCCTCCTGTTCAGCCTTCCCCTGCTCCTTGTGAAAGAAGCCGTTCTCGCTGCCGCCAGCCCCGGCCTCAACAGCCCCCTTGCCTGTGCAGGCAAACTTGGCAGGAGGTTTTTGAGGATCCTATACAGCAGGGCAGTGGGAAGTTCTGAGGGCAAGAAGACCTCCCGTGTTCATCTTGGCAGCCCCGCAGGCCACTGTGGAGAGAATGCTGCTACCTCTCGTCGCCCGGAGTCCAGCGTGAGCAGAGGCAGGCCGAGCGGAGGCTGGCGTCTCGCCGGGGGCGGGCCGTGGTGGAGGAGCAAGGGCTCTGACCGGTGTGGAGGTGCCCGGCTTTGGGTGGCCTCCAGCCTGGCCCCTGAGGGAGCTTTCCAGCATCTCCAGAGCTCAGCCCCCTCGTCCCTGCAGGGGGCTGACACCCCCTCGCAGGGAACGGGAAATCCAGTGCACGCCGCCTCTTGGCTCTTGGGTGAGGAGACGAGGGCTCCGGAGAAGGCTGGGGGCAGTCCCGCCCTGCGCTGATCAGCAGCTTGGACCTAGTCCAGTTTCTCCACCTTCTTAAGCCTCCTCGTGCTAAGAAAATGGGGTAATAGCATCCACTTAGAATTAGTTGTAAGAATCAAATGAAGTTATGTAGAATGTGAAGGAACCCCTCATTCCTGGCATGCAGTCCGCAGTTAACGGTGAGGTTGTGCCTGTCTTGGTGGCCATGCTTTGGGGGGGGGTGCCTCGCTGTATGAGCCTATTCTGCGCAATGGCTGCACAGGGGGGCCAGTGGTCAGGTCAGGGTGGGCAAATGGGGCCATCAGAAATGCCTCCCGTTGCTGGTGACGTCCTTCTGAGGCGGCGTTCCCCACTGGCCGACTGCGGCAGTAGGGGACACTGACCTGGGACGGGCTCGATGATTGTGTGGGCGGGCTTTCCTGAGGGCCAAGCCGTTCAGAGAGCTGTGTTCGAGGCTGGAGAGAGCCTCTGTGTTCCGGGGCCTCTCCCTGGTCCTGTGGGGACCGAGAGGCTGTCCCTGCACTTGGGGATGTCCCCAGCCTCCTGAGTGGTAATTGTGTCATCACAGCTCTTGTCACCCAGCCCTCCCTGTGTGGGGCTCTGTGTCACCCTCACCACAGTCCTGGAAGGGGTGCTTATGTGCCCACTTCACAGATGAGGATGCTGAGGCCCAGGCAGGCTTGTCCTGGGCCTTTTGGGGAGAAAGTGGTGGAGCTGAGGGTCAAGCCCATACTAGCCTTCTGGCCAGAACCCGCGTGTGCTTATGCTTTTCTGAGTGGCTAAGGCCCGTGGGACTCATTTGTCCAGACAGGGGAGGAGTGGGTGGGCTTTGAAATGCACATGGACTTTAAAGCATTCGGCAACAACGGAGGCCCCGAAGCTTTCAGTGAGGGTGGAAGTCCCTCTGCCGTTTTCACTTCCAGCAGCGGAAGTGGGGTGTGTGTGCGAGAGCTGTGTGCGTGTGTGCGCGTTTGCGTCCTTGCATGCGAGGGCCAGTAACTCACTGGGTAGTTCAGGCTGTCAGAGCAACCTTCTCTTGTGACAGAGCATGTGTCCCATTGGCTGCTGCCTCACATTCAGAAGCCCAGAGAGAGGAGTTAAAATGCTAATTTTCAGAGACTGCTCAGTCATTTGATCCCATTGAAACACCAGCATCCTTCTCATGCAAGACAGATGCCTAAATGAACGACGAATTGCCTGGTTACTGTGCAGGGACAGCCAGCCAAAGGCTGCCTCCTGGCTGCGGAGCGTGAACCCAGTGGGAGGTGCCTGTGCCATTTGGGTACACGCTTCCCGGCGGAGGCTGCCAGGGAGATGAGCTGGGAGGAGGACAGAGGGGTGACAGGGACTCCGTGGCCCTCCTTGGTGCCTGGCGGCTCCCTGGGCTCCCTTGTGGTCACCTCCTTCCTTCCCTCCCGCATCAGGTGCTGGAGACGTGTGTGAAGAACTGTGGCCACCGCTTCCACGTCCTGGTGGCCAACCGAGATTTCATTGACAGTGTTCTGGTCAAAATCATCTCTCCCAAGAACAGCCCTCCTACCATCGTACAGGACAAGGTGCTCGCTTTGATCCAGGTAGGTCAGCTCCTCTCGTCCAGCTTGTCGGGCCGGAGGAAGATGGGGCCTCTTCCCTGTGAGTCCTCATGTTTGCCCATCATTTGCAAGAAAGAATGGAGGCTTCTGCATGTAGATATTTGTTGCAAAATACTTCTTTTTTACACTCCTCCCACTGGAATGAGACTATATAATCAGTGGCTCCCCAGCTGGTTGACAGGTTTCCCTAAAGTTTCCTGGGTGCCTGGCCCTCTGCTGCCCACAAGGGCATGCGGGGTGTTGGCAGCCCTCAGGGCCACCAGGGACCAGGTGGAGCAGGGAGGGTCGCATCAGGGCCTGCGCAGGCTGGTGAGTCACAGGGCGGGGCCGCTCCAGGGCAGGCCGGGGGCAGGGGTGGGCCTTGGGCCTGAAGGGCGGCCAGGAGCACGGTGAGCTGAGCGTGGGGGAAGCACCGCAGGCAAGGAGGCACATGCAAAGGCAGATGCGTTAAAGAGGGCAGTCGACTTGTTTGGGATGTATTCCTTATTCATTGCTCTGTAAGAAATTAACTCCATGTTTAGCAGCTTAAAACAATACATGTCCGTTACCTCCTAGTTTCCGCGGGTCAGGAATTCAGGAGACGCCAAGCTGGGTGACTCCGGCCCGGGCGCTCTCAAAGTCGCAGGGAAGATGTCGCTGGCCTGGCCCTACCTGAAGGCTCAGCTGGAGCCGGAGGGGCCGCATCCGAGGTGGCCCTCCCCCAGGGGTCCTTGCTGACTGTTAGTGGGAGGCCTGAGTTTCTTGCCACGTGGCTCTCTTGAGTGTCCTTGTGATGTGGCAGATGGTTTTCCTTAGAGCTAATGACCAGAGAGAGAGTGCAGCAGCTGCAGCGCCTGGTGGGACTGGGTCTCAGAAGTCACACACCATCCTTTCCGTCACCGTCAGTTTGTTAGAAGGGAGTCACCAGGCCCAGCCTCAAAAGTCGGGGAGTGAAGCTGTACCTCTTAAAGAGGAGAGGGTGTTTTAACCACCGCAGGGAGCGGAGAGTGGGATGGAGAGGGTCTGGGGCCAGGAGATAAGGCCAGAAGGACGGTCAGGGCTCGCGGGCCGCGCATCCTGAGGAGTTTGCGCTTCATCCTGTCGGCGGTGGGGAGCGTTGAAGGCGTCTGAGCCGGGTGTACACAGTCAGATCTGGATTTTAGACAGAGCGCCCTGGTGACAGGTTCAAAGGTACACACGTCAAAAGGCTCATCCAATGTGGGGTGATTAAGTGCTGTGGTACAGGAAAGGTAAGAGCCTGCAGGAGCCAAGGGGAGAGGGGAGAACCAACCCAGGGCGTGGGGGTGGGGTGAAGAAGGCAGGGGACAGTGTGGTCAGGGGAGGGGCTTTGGAAGTGGTGTGGCCGGTGAGGCTGGAGAGGAGAGAGGGCCTGAACCCAGGGGTCTGTTGGCTCTGTCCTTTCCACCTGCGCCCTCGGCCTGGAAATGCTCCCCAGCACATGGGCACCCAGCCCATGGACGCTGGCTACTCCCCTGTTCGGGCAGTCCTCTTCCGACCCTGGTTTGCCGCGCATATCGTGCACTCTCTCCTCCCACCCTCTTTCATGGTCTTCGGCTACTTCTGTGTGGATGACCCCATCCTGTCTCCCCCTGAGCTCCCCGAGAGCCCAGGAACGTTCTATCCCAGGGGCTAGAGCAGCCGATGGTGTAAGTGTTCAATACGTTGCTGTCCTTCTTAAGGATGAATGACTCATTTGCCGGAGCTCTAAAGGAGGGAGGAGTGTGGATGACAGTGAAGCTCCTCGCGTGCTCCCTTGGCGTGTCCCTGTGTCTTCGTTCTGCTTACAAGACAGCTCTCGCTCTCTTTCACACACGCATGCACACACGCACACAGGCACCAGGCTTCTCACCCCCTGCCCTCCTCACCTCCACCTCCACCCCAACGACCCCTCCTTCTGGGTGTCCCCAGCACGCCCCCTTGCCTCCACACCCCGAGTATTTGATGTCAGGAAAATGAGTAATATTGGCATTTTCTCACAAGGATGGGGCATCCCAGCCTGAACCGTGTAAGCCCACAGGAGCCCCTGGCGCAGGCCCTCTGCAGTCAGGCTTGGAAGGAGTCCTTCCTGTGGCCAGGCCCAGGGGGGTCCTGGCTGAGGGCAAAGGCTGCGCTGTCCACGGCCCCCGCTCTCCCCGGCCACCAGCCCAGCCCTCCCTGCCCTGACGTCCAGCACTTTCCCACCAGAGTGACCGCCGCCTCCCACACTGCTGCTTCCCACTGGTCTAACCTGGGCAGGCATCGCAGCCTCTCTGGGCTTCTGCGTCCTCACGTGTGAAATGGGGGCCTGTATCCCTGCCTCTCGGCTCCCAGCCCTGAGTCTGCGGGTTGGTCAGCGCAGCACAGATGTCTGCACCCACGTCCTGAGGACACCCCCTGCTGACACGGCAGCAGCACGTGCTCCGGCCTCCGGGAGGGAGCGGGACGGCCGTAAGGGCCTCGCAGGCTCCTGTGAGGCCGGGACACTCTGGACATCTCCCGGGTCCAGTGGGGACAACACAAGCGGCTTTAGGTCAGGCGCTTCTAGGTGGGCTTGAGGACCTAACTGGGGAGAGTTCCCCCGCCCAGGCTTGGAAGCTTCTAAGGAACGTTTGTCTTTGGTCACAGCCGAGCAACACAGAGACAAGCAGGCAGCCTTCAGAGCTGGCAGGTGGCTTGGCTCCTGTAATGGGGGTGGACCAAAAAATAAACAAAATCAGACTTTTCACTTACCTTTAATTGAATTATATATGCGGGAAATGGCATATTTAAAAAGTATATACAACTTGATAAATTTTTACAAACTGAACATGCCCCTGTAACTGGCCTTCTTTTGTGAAACAGCCCCTGACAGGCAGCCAAAGGCCCCACACCCCTGGCGTGACCCACGCCTGGCCTCTCAGCACAGATGGGCTCTTCCTGGTCTTGAACTTTGCCTGGGTGGGCCCTGCAGCAGCGCTCTGGGGTCAGCGGGCCTGGCCGTGCTGTGGGCCTCGCCTTGGCGCTGGGCACCGCTCAGGCCGCGTCTGCTGGGCGGATGCGCTGCGGGCTCTGCATCCCTCACCCCGCGGGCGGGCCCAGTTGTTCTCAGGGGCTGGCCTGAAAAGGGCCGCCATGAACACTCAGCACCTGTCTTTTGGTGAGTATATGTGTCCATTTCTTTGGGTGCATATTGAACGGATGAAACTGTCATCTTTGTTGGTCATATTGGTAGAATATTAGCCATTTCATGTGGTTCAATACCTGGGAGTGGAATTGCCGGGCGGTAGGGAGTGCCCGTGCTCCCGATTAGCCAGCAGCGTGTGCCCTCCTCCGCCAGCGCGAGAGTTGGTGTTGGCCTCATATCCTCCCCAGTGTGCGGTGTCTTCATTACACCTTGCCCGACGAGTTTGTGGAGGTATTGGAGCCTGTCGACCTTTTTAACCCCTTTGAGAAAGAAGGTGACTTTAGGTACATGTTGAATGTACATAAAGCCCCCCAGAGACTCTGGGAACTCCGCCTGGGGGAGCCCGTGCTCCCTCGTGAGACGGGTGGGGATAGGGGGACAGCCGCTGGCTCTCTTGCCGGCTTGTGCGTGGTGGCCGGCCACCGCAGAGCCTCAGCGAGACTGAAGGGATCTGGCGAACTGTGTGGGCGCCGGGCGGCGGCAGGCCCTCCTCGTCCTCAGGACGTTCTTGGTGCTCCTCGGGGCCCGTTGTCAGGAGGTGGAGCCGGGTCAGCCCAGTGCTGCCCCCAGCGGTACCCCGCTCAGGGTGAATTCTCGGTGCCCCTGCCCTGCTGCAGTGTTGGTCCTTCTGAGGGGGGCCTCCTCCCTGGGAGCCCAGGAGGAAAGGTGTTGGGAGCAGGGCACCCTTATGAGCAGCTTGCCAACTCTGGTCATACCGAGCCTTTGAGCTTCCTGAAACTTCCAGCTTTTTGGCTGCACTTCCTTCTGTGCCATGGTCAGTCCTTTTGTGGAGAAGGCAGGAAGGGCCCTCCACTCCGTGCTGTCCCCCAGCCTTCCCTTGTGTTGTTTTCAGAAGCAGAAATGATGTCATCCTCGTAGGGTGGCCTCATTGTGGGCATGCCAGTCCCGCTTCTCCCCGCCCCCGCCCCCACCCCCACCGTGCCTCGAAATGGATTCTAAAAATACTCGCTCTGCCCTGAAGGCAGTATGCTGCTGGGGGTGGGGAGGAGGAGCTGGAGGTGTGGTGTTCCTGGAAGGCGGGACTGCTGGCCCTGCTGGGGGCCAGGCCCAGTGTGGGCTGGCTGCTCTCCAGGGACCTGCCTCTGGGGACAGCAGTCTGTCCAGGGGCGTGAGCGGAGCCCCACAGGAGCCTCCTTTGGTGCAGAGAACAGAACCCATCATCTCAATCGGAGGTTGTCTGTTGACCTGAAATTTGATGATTTAAAATTTCGGATACAGAAATGAATAGGATGTGCTTCACCTGGGGCTTGCTGTATAATCCAAAGGAACAGAGGAGATAAAGGCATGACTCCGCCCCTCATGAGACCTTCCCCGGGGTCTTTCAGCCCCTGGTACTGCAGGCCCACAGGCAGGAGAAGGAAGAACTGCTCAAAGAGCAGTGAGGTGGCCTCTGGGTCATGAACCAGCCAGCACCGCCCTGCCCCTCTGCTGTCGGATAGAACGGCCTGCCGGCACCGCTGCAGTTCTGGGGCTTCACGCTGGAGGCCAGACCGGCCGAGGTTTCCATCTCTCCCCCAGAGCAGACCCTCGTTCTCTGGGTCGGCTGCCTCGAGGGGCCCTGCTTTGCCACGGCACCTCGGCCTGTCGATGGCCCTCGTGGCTGTCTTCCTCTGTTCTCTGAGGTAAGACAGAAGGATGTTTAGTAACCACGAGGACCAAATTCAGTCTAACTTGACAAATGCTGACTGGCTGCCTTCTCTGTGCAAGGGCGAGGTATTTCTTTGGGCATTGTCCCAGCAAGATGCTAGAGGCACACAACATCTCTGGGTTGCTCCTGCTTCTCTGTTTTCACATGTGACTGTTCTTTTAAAGGTGCCCTGCGCCCACCCCATTCCCCTGTTGGCAACAGAATCGTGTTCAGTGGAGAATGCTGCTCAGAACATATGTTCTTGCAGCAGCCACCTCACTGAAACTGTGCGGGGGTCCCCTGCAGGAGTTGAAATAGCGGCAGGTGGGAAAGGTGTGGATTAGCCAAGTCTGCTTGGTTGCAAATAATAGATGCCAGCTCCAGCTCGCCCAGGCCAAGAGGAAAGTTTGTCATGAAAAGATGGGGCTGCCTAGAACCCTGGGGTATGTTGGGGCCTGCAGAAGGGACAGAAGGGATCAGAAAAACCCTCCAAATCTCCTGTGTGTCTGCACCTCTCAGCCTACAAGCTGCACCATTTCAAGCGCCCAGATCTGGGGCTGGCATGTGGCGGCTGCCTGGGCCCACATCTGTTGAGGACAGTTTCACCCACCCACAGAGCAGCCTGGCAGGCCCCAGGCGGAGGAGCCCAGGGGGAACGAGAAGCTGATTGGCCCAGCTCGGGACGTGCCTTTTCCCCTCCCTCTCCGGTACCATAGAAAGGGGCCTGTCGACTCATTGTTTGGGCAGATGCCCCAAGAATTATCACCTGGCTAGAGAGAAGAGCGATGGTTCTCTAATCTTCACTCTTCTCATCTCATGTTTAGCTGCGATGGAGAGTGAGATCAGTTAAAGGGGTCCCCTGAGCTGTTTGTCCTCCCACGGAAACGGAGGCCTAAAGCCGCACCAAGAGCAGCCGGCATGCTGTGTTCCCCCCAGCCTCCCTCTGGAGGCTGTGAAACTAGTCTTAGTTTTTTTTAAAAGATTTTTTATTGATTGATTTTTAGAAAGAGAGAGCGAAGAGAAAACACAACAAAACAAAACATCGATTTCTTGCTCCATTCACTCACGCATTCCTCAGTTGCTTCTGGTACGTGCCCTGACCAGAGATGGAGCCTGCAACCCTGGCACAGCGGGATGACGCCTCAGCCACTGAGCCGCCCGGCCAGGGCTGTGCAGCTAGTCTTAGATGCTAAACTTTAGACCCTGTACTGAAAATGCTAGCACCTTTGAAGCTGGAGTCACAAGGTTCAGCTGGAGTTTGAATCGGGTGGCTGACGCCAAAGCAGCTGGTGGGAGATGGGGCCAGGGGCACCCCTGGAGGGCGGGCCTCCCCCTTCGTTGCTGCTTCCCTGCGAGTACCCCAGACAGGCCTCGGCAGGCACCTTCGGCCCAACTCAGAATCCGGAAGGAAGTGTTGGCTAACCCAAAAGGGGTTGTGCCATGCAGGTCATTAAACCTCTGAGTATGCAAATTAAATAAGTGGATCAAGGAAGGCAGACTGCCAGTATGTTTGTATTAAGTAAGGTGCATCAGTTGTAATTAGTAAGACTTTTTGGAAACCGACCTTTTAACTTCAAGTGGGTCTGCTGGTTGGAGATAGAGTTTCCGTGGCTGCCTCAAGACGGGCTGGCACCCAGTGCCAGAGCCAGGGAGGCATCTCAATGCTGGCGACAGCAACAGAACCCTGGGCCCCAGAGGCTGTGCCCTCTCCCGTGGGCGTGCATGCCGACGGGATGGCTCAGAAGGGCCGGGCTCCGTGGAGGGTCATTTGGGTGTGCTTCTTTTTTAAATGTATTCCGTAACTTCCAAGGAACAGATTTTTTAAAAAAAAAATTTTTAGAGTTCCATGAGCCCTGAATAGTGTGGCTCAGATGGTCGGGTGTCATCCCATAAAGTGAAAGGTCGCTGGTTCAGTTCCCGGTCAGGGTATGTGCCTGGGTTTGTGGGTTCAGTCCTCAGTTGGGGCGTGTGTGAGAGGCAACCGATTGATGTTTCTTCCCCACATTGGTGTTTCTTTCCCTCTCTCTAAAAATAAATAAATAAATAAAATCTTAAAAAATAAAGAATTTCATGAATCAGTGATGAGTGGCAGTCGGTTTAGAATCTGTCCTTCCCTCTCTGTGCTGGGTTCTGACGAGCGGGAATTTGGCGGCCCGGAGCCGCAGCCCTCTCGCCTGTGAGAGAACGGCGGGGACTCGCAGTCTCAGCTTTTGTGCCCTCTCACCTATCCAGGAACCCTAGAGGTAGCCCGCTTTTCACTCATGCCCCAATTTCTCCTTCCCGCCCGATCTGCCTGTGGCTCCTGCGCCCCCTGAAGAGAGCTCAGCAGAGCACATGTGCGCAGCGCCACGGTGCCCTGGAGCCGGGCGGCCTGCGGTGGCCTCTTTATGCCCTTCAGCTGCACATCACCAGGAATCGGGGTCCTGGGGTCAGGGAAACGCCCGCAGTTTAGGAAGCGCCGCAGAGCTGGGGGAGCAGTCCTCTGGCTCTTCTCCAGGGAAGTGCTGCACAGGTCGCACTGAGTTTGGTTTGTTGTTCATGCTCAGCAGCACCATTGAAAGACCAGGGCGTCGCCGCCTGCACTGTGACAGGCCTGGCAGGAGCAGGGCGCTGAGCGGGCTCAGCCGGAGCACTTGCATTCCGGTGCGGGGCGCCCTGGCCTCCGAGACCGCGGGCAGCCGGGCTGCTGAGGCTTTCAGGCCCGCGACAGCCACCGCGAGAAACACTTCTAACGGGCTTCTCTTGTCCTCCTAGGCGTGGGCAGATGCCTTTCGAAGCAGCCCTGACCTCACGGGCGTCGTGCACATATATGAGGAGCTGAAGAGGAAGGGGGTCGAGTTTCCTATGGCAGATTTGGACGCTCTGTCTCCCATACACACGCCACAGCGGGTAAGCTTCCAGCTGGCATTTTCTAGAAAGAACTATTGCAGAGCACGCAAGCCACTGCCATCGCCCTTCTGCCGCTCCCTTTGAATTATTCAGCGAGTCATCACGCCTTCTCAAAGCTCGAGGGCATTTCTTTTTAATCACAAGGGGAACGCAGGAGTGAGACAGCTGGCTGACTGGGGATTAAGCGGCTGCAGCGTCTCCCCCAGTTCTCGAGCTGACTGGGAGAACACAGCAGAGGGGTCGGTGCAGACGTGCCCACGGCCACGGCTGCTTGGGGAGGCACTCTCTGAGGGCCCTCAGCTCCTACTCTCTGCTCCCCAGAGGCCCGGGGACCTGGTGTGAGGCCCCAGCCTCTCCCTTTGAGAGCGCCAGCGCGCCTCCTGTCGGCAGCGCGGTGGCTGGGCTCGTCTCTCAGGTGGGGCCAAGAGCCGCTTCTGGTTTTCCAGCTGTACAGGTTAACCGATGGATCTAAAAAGATCCATTATCAAATATTTATTTTGAGATGTGAGCATTCAGCATCAGCCCCAGACAGGCTTGGGATTCAAAGCCCGTGAACGAGGCCTCCCACTGAAGCTCCTACCACACACAGGCGAAGCCCCGCGTCCTTGGCCAGGGAATCTAGCGTCTACCTCTGCTGGCTGGGAGTCAGCGCCGGCCTGGGGGAGAGCCGGGGAGCTCTGGGATCTGGGAGTGGCACCTTGTCCCAGAACACTCTGCCTTGCTGGCCATTGTTTGCCCATCGCTGAACCGGGGTGTGGAGGGCAACAGGGCTGTGCTTTCCGAAGCAGTATTTTCATTGTGATCTCTCCAAACCACTTCCTATGCTTTGTGGAATAAGCATGGACTTTTTTGTTTGTTTCTTTTTCTTCTTCTCCTCTTCTTCTTCTTTTTTTTAAAGATTTTATTTCTTTTTAGACAGGGGGTGGGGAGGGATAGAGGGAGAGAAACATCAATGTGTCATTGCCTCTCGCACACCCCCTACTGGGGACCTGGCCCACAACCCAGGCATGTGCCCTGACTGGGAACTGAACCAGTGATTCTTTGGTTTGCAGGCTGGCATTCAATCCACTGAGCCACACCAGCTGGGGCTGTTTTGTTCTTTTAATAATGACACAGAACTACGAGGGGGAGACCCAAACAAAACCAGAGTTTATTTATAAGAAACTGTGTATTTATTCTTACATGTTCAAACTTCAGTCACCTTCAGAGTACTGTGCATTTGATGCAATACACCTATCAGGACATTTTTTTCCACTAGGCAAACTAGTTTTTGAACTCGTCGATTTTTGATACTTTTTAGTGCTTCTGCCGTTTTTTGTTTCACTTCTTCCCCATTGGCAAAACATTTCCCTTTGAGGACTTTTTTCGTCCAGGGAAACAAAAAAAAGTTGCTCGGGATGAGATCAGGTGAATACGGAGGGTTGGGGCACAGGGGTCATGCTGTTTTCTGGCCAAAAACTGCTGGACACTCAGCGCAGTGTGGGCAGGTGCGCTTGTAAATCACCCATCGTGAAATGGGCAAACACATTGAAAGAGTTTTCCAAAAAAATTCACTGAAGCCAAACGCAGCCTCTCACAACAACGCCAGCTGGTGCACTAACACAGATGGGTTTGTAGAACACTTACCTAGCAGGGGAAGCCTGTGCTACAAGGGGCCTGCCCTCCAGAAGATGATTTTGGTCCTTTTTGGATCTTCCTTTGTATGTTGTTTTTCCTGTAATTGCAAAGAACATTCAGTAACTTGCATAATTACTGTTTATATTACTCTACTTATAAAAGCCAAAATGAAATCTTCTGGTACCAAATAAGGATTCGTGAGCAGCAAAACTTAATAGTAGCCCTGCCTGCTGGGGTCCCTTGGTGGTCCTCACATAGGAAACCCTGACCAGAGCCGCATCAGAGCGCCCTCACTGCGGCCTTTGAAGTTGCTTTGTGTGGCTGTGGAGTGAGTGGAGGGAGAAGCCGCTGGGAGCCCCCTCCTCAGTAGAGAGACTGGGAGCAGAGGGCCCCCTGGGGCACCCCAGGCCGGCCAGAGCCCTGGGATCCACACCCCCCGCCCCCGGCAGCTGTGGCGGGAGGTGCTGCCCTGGGTGGGGTGGGTGCCAAGCCCAGCGGCACAGGCAGCCCAGGTGAACAGAGGGCTTTGTTGTTGCCATGCCAGAGTGTCCCTGAAGTGGATCCAGCCGCCACCATGCCCAGGTCCCAGCAGCAGCAGAGGACGAGTGCCGGCTCCTATTCCTCGCCTCCGCCCGCTCCCTACTCCGCTCCACAGGCCCCGGCGCTGAGTGTGACTGGCCCCATCACAGCCAGTTCAGAGCAGGTACTCACACCCTCCTAGGCCGTAGGCTGGCCAGCCAGCCGTCCGCACTCCCCCTCCAGGAGGCACGCGCAGCCACCTCCCAGGCCAGGCCCTGTGCCCGGTGCCAGTGACGCACAGACGGAAGGGCCCAGCCTCTTGCCTGAGGACTCCCAGTCGAGCGGGGCACAGGTGCGAAGACGGTCGGGAGAGTGTGGCTGCACTGGGGCAGGGGTGGCCCGTGCTCGGAGTGCAGAGCCGTGCAGCCTCTGGCAGGCAGCCCAGCGCGGGAGCCACGGGGGGCCTGGGAGCTGGAGCGAATCCTGCGGGCAGGGGCGTCCAGAGGCAGAGCACGGCGCTCTAGCAGCAGGGGTGGCTTGGAGGAGGGGTGCCGGTGCAGGGTCCCGGTGGGGAGGAAGCCGCGGCAGAGGGTGAGACCCAGAGCACAGGAATGGGGTTGAGTTGTGAACAGCCTGTGAGTCGTGCAGAGAGGGCCGGATTGATCCCGTGAGAGGTGCCCGCCATCAGCAAGGCTGCCAGCAAGGCCCTGTCCATCTGCAGAGGACGAGCTGGGGCCCAGAGGCCTTTGGGAAGCACCCTTCCTGCCTTTGTCCCCAATGCCGCCTGCCTTCCGTGAGTGACTTCCTGAGAAGCAGTGCCCTTTCACCCCAGACTGGACTTTTTAGATAAGATGTGGAGCCCAGTCTTCAGGTGAATCTCTCTAATTTCCATTAGTTAAAATTTGAGGATTGGTCAGACTGAAAAAAAAAAAATCTGTGCAATGCTTTTATTTTTTTAAATCCTTATTTAATATCTGTGACAATGTCATTTATTACAGAGCCTCCTCTAACAGCAGGGCACATGAGTCTGTCTGGCCACTGGAAGGGCTGTGCCAGGGCCCCGCTCCTCCCACGCTCTGGGTCCAAGGAGGGCGTGGGCGGCGGTGGTGGGGCTGCTCCTCCCTGCGAGGCTCCCGCAGGGCCGCCGGCACCCCTGGCTGTACTGGGAGGTCTACCCTCCTGAGAGGCAGCTGAGGGAAACACATGCCCAAGTGCCGTGTGCACCGCTGAGGAGACAGTGAGGCCCACGAAGCTGAGGGAAACGGGGTGGGGGGTCACATGATATGGGGCTTGCTGCGCTGCAGGGGCCGGGACCCGGCCTGAAAGGGGAAGAAGGCCTCTGGCTCCAGGCACTGCTTCCCTGGGGCAGAACCCAGCCCCCTCTGCCCAGAGGGAAGGCAAAGACTTTGGAAGCATAGTGGCCACTGAGCCCCTCCACTGGCCTGTGTTCAGTGCGTGGGACCTCAGGAGGAGCCCTCCCCGCGCCGGAGCAGGTGGGGGGTCGGAATGGATGAGGGCACACGTGCTGCCCTGGGGGCCAGGAGGCGGCGGCAGGCGGGGGCCGGCGCCAGGGCCCACGTGGCTTCCCGCTGTTGCAGGGCCGGGCCTCCCTGGCCACCAGCCTCTTCTCGGCAAGCCACGGGCCACTCACCCGTCAGGCAGAGCCAGAGGCTGGGGGGGCCTTTCAGGGGTCGTGTTATCCCTGAGTGGGGAGCTAGGTAGAGGTGGGTCTCTCTGTGGTCTTCTCTCAGCTCCTCTCCTTCACTCTTGCCACACCAGGAAAGGGCAGCGAACACTGGCCCGCCTCTCAGAAGACCGTAGCAGTTAGATTAGGAACTGCTAGGAGCCTGTCTATAATGCTTCGGCTCCGCAGCAAGGATCCCAGTGCTGAAGGGACCTTGGAGACCACACCCTCCAGCCTTCACTTGAAAGGGCAGAGGCAGACAGAGTGTGAGAGAGTATCTGCCCCCTCCACGTCCTGTGATGGGAGAGCTGAGACTGCAGCCCGGCCCGGTGCACTCTGCACATGGCATGCTCTCCCTGCCAGCGTGGCCCCAGCATCCTCGGCAAGTCCCCGTGCTCTTGGGGGCCGCACTCCCCCAGCAGTACCCTCTTGGAGCTGCCACCCCCTTACATGCAGACCAGAGGCAGATGAGAAGGCTTTGCCGCTGTGCTCATTCGGCAGTGTGACCTAGGTGTCGTGAGAGTGGGCCTGTCAGCAGCCAGGACAGGTGACCGACCTCTCCTGCCCACTTTCCTCCCGGCCCCAACAGATCGCCAGGCTGCGGAGCGAACTGGACATTGTTCGAGGAAACACAAAAGTCATGTCTGAGATGCTAACAGAAATGGTGCCCGGACAGGAGGATTCATCGGATCTGGAGTTACTCCAGGTGAGGGGCCTCACCTCATGGGGGCCCTGGGCCCAGGGGGCAGAGCGTGGGAGGGACCGAGCCCAGGCAGGCCCAGGCCCCGTCTCACGGTTCCCGGAAAGAGTCAGGGGCCAGTACCGGGCTCCCTCTTGTTTTATTTTCCTTAACATTTTTTCCTGATTACAAAATGCCAGTTGCAGAATAGATGCCCATCTAAAGAAAAAGGAAATTCAAAGGGGAAAATTATAATATTCTTTAATGCCAGCATCCACAAAAACCACAGTCGATGCTTTGAGGTATTTTCTTTCAGATTTTCCCGGTTTGTTTCAAGTGCAGTTGAGATGACATGGTCTTGTATGTGGGATGCTGTGCATTGCTGCGCTCCCTCAGCAGCAGCGAGCACTGTGCACATTTGCAACGGGGCTGCAGCTTCTCCTGTACACGGGGGCCCTTCCGGTTACCCCTCACCCACCAGCCGCCCCTGAGGCTGAAACGAAGCTGAAGCTCTTTCCTTCCCTGAACACTGAGGATTCCCAGGCTGAGCCACTCACGTGCTGGCTCCCAGGGCTCTTGCCAGCTGGACGCAGTGCGGGTCTGGAAGCCCGGCAGAAAGGGGTCCGGGAGCAGGGCTGGCCTGCGGGACGCCCTCGGATGAGAGCCTGTTTCCCAGGCCAGCCGGACCCACACGAGCAGCCAGATCACCACACCCGTCCCAGAGGGCTGTGGCCTTTGTAGAGAGTGCCAGCAGCTCTGCCTTAGAAGCAGCAACCTCCTGAGGGGGTGGAGAAAGGATGCCGTGCACTCCCAAGCGCCAGATCTTTTCAGTGGGAGGCAAGATACTTGAGTAAACAAACAGGAGCCAGACTGGCCTGGCGCACTGGCTTGAGTCCTCATGACATGCTTTCTGCTGCTATTCTTGTCTGCACGCAGAGCTGTCAGCCTCGACCCCTACGGGCCACAGCTCCCACCCTGCTGTCGGCACACCCTTGCTGCCTGGGAGAGCTCGGCTCTCATGGCCCTGTCCTTCAGGCACACACACTGCCAAGTGGCTGCTCCTCGTCCTGAGCTCTTTCTTGTCGCACCTCCCTTATCCTTTGAAGCCATCGGGCTCCTGGGGGGGAGAGGATGGGCAGAAGTCTGTTCTGGGCCCAACGGAGAGCAAAGTCCAGAGGTCCAGAGGGGCATGGGCTTTTGAGACCCCTGTTCTGGAGGAGCTCACAGCTTAGCGCGGGAGCCAGACAGGAGAACAGCTGTCTCCACGAAACCGCGACTGGGCCGCTCCCGGAGCCAGGACGCGCGCGGCTGCCAGCCCGCCCTGGTTCCCAGACCTCACCCTGGTTCCGGCCGCACGCCAGGCTTGCCTCAGCTGAGCAGGTCCAGCTGTCCACATGCCACAGTCCGTGGGACCCAGCATCCCGTCCGTGCAACCTCGGCCTCCTTTCGCAGCCCGTGGTGGGGGTTCTTCAGGTGTTACCAAGGCACTGGGGCCTGCAATCAGTCCAGAAACGGGATGGAACCTGAGAGGGCTCCTTGAAGCAGCTCTGTGCTGTGCCTGCATCAGAGTCCCTGCGGACGAGGGGCTTACAGGGGACAGAACTGTTATCCTGGCAGCAGGGGGGTTGGACAAAGCCCGCATGCTTCCAGGCAGCCAGAGCAGACCAGACGGGGAGAATACGGGGCTGGGGGGTGGGGGGGAGGTGAGAGAGAGAGAGAGAGAGAGAGAGAGAGTGTGTGTGTGTGTGTGTGTTTTAAAACAAACCCATCAGCCAAGACAAACAGAACCTAATCTTCTGGCGTCAGCTCACAGTTTTCAAAAATAGGTTGCTTCCCATGACGTTTCCCTTCCCTCTGTTTTGTTCCCACTCTGAGCCTGCCAGCCCGCACTGCTGCCTTATAAATCAAGCAGGAAAGGGCGGTGCTGGGGACCAGCAGGAGGCCGTCCTTTCAGCCTGGGAGATTCAGGAGCCAGGCAGCTCTGCCCAACAGAGCAGACACGGCTGGCTGCCGGCCTCACTCTCAGTCACTCCTGACATCCCCTCCTCTCTCCCCCGTCAGTCAGAAGCCAGCCAGGCAGGGTCTCCCAAGGGTCGCGGCCAGGCCAAACAGCAAGCTTCCCACACGGGAAAATGGCACAGCTTGCTCGGAAAGTGACAGGATCAGAATGTGCCCCGAGGACCCCTCTGTCGAGTTGGAGGGCAGCCAGATTGCTCAGAGTAGAAGCTGTCTGGAGAGCTCACAGTGCTGGCCAGGGCCATGGAAATAAACACTTGTCACCAACGCAAATGTTCACGCCAACAAAAGTGGCTCCCGTCTCGAGTGTAAATTGCTGGGTAGGAGGTGGAAGAAATGGGAAGAGAGGAAATTGGAGGTGTCACCCCCGGGGTGCACTGGTGTGACCGACCATAATTATGGGCAGGTTATGTCCCCATTGCTTCCTGCGAGTCCCAAAGCACTTTCAGGTGCAGCCTCGCCACAACCCTGCAGGGCCGCAGAGAAGCTTTCTGGGGGGGGAGGTTTGCCCGGGGACTATGGGGGGTAACTTGTGGTGGAGGGGGCCAAGGCTCGCACACCCCACTGTGCTGTCAGCTTAGTTGGAGCCCAGGGGAGGGTGCGGCAGAACACCCAGCGGGAGCCCAGAGGCAGCCAGGGCCTCCACGCTGCACTCCAGGTTCCCCCGACAGCAGTTTGCCTGCCTCGCTGTCCTCAGCGTCCTCAGCAGCAGGCTGTCAGGTCAGCCCGGGAGCGCCTGGTATTCAGATGCACCTGTTGGTTGGACTTTGGAAGGCAGCACGGGGCGGGGAGAGCAAGGGCCGGGGAGTCCCCGTTCAGGTCTGGGTCCAACCACTGGTGGGCGGTGCCGGCAAGTCCCCTACCTGTGGGAGCGGGGAGTAATCGCCGCTGCCGCCGGGGAGGGATGGGAACCTGTTCCAGCGCTAGCCCAGGGCCAGACACAGGCAAGTCCCCCACAAGCCACAGCCGCTGTGATGATAGGCGGCATGTCGAGCCGAGGTCCCTCTCCCTACAACTGCTGCCCTGGGCTGTCTTTTTGAATAACAGTAGAAAACAAACTTCTCTGCCACACGGTAGGTGCTTAAACATTTGAAGGCTGCCCACAGCCCAGTCGCTGAGCGGTGCAGACGTAGCGGTTGGCAGCCCACCTTGCAGGTGGCCAGGCAGTTCTCAGCGGGAGACATCCACTGAAAACCCTTCATCTCTCTCTCCTGTGGCTGCGGAGCCGTGTCTGCCCCATCCTGTGCGTGGGCACGTGGGGACAGGCCTGACGTAGGAGGTTCTGCAGCTGTGTCTGCCAACGTGCATGCGCTTAGCTGCAGCCTGCAAGTCAGACTCTTTGGACTCTAATGATCCTGATGCTGTCATTCGATACCTTCTGTCTCTTTCAGACTAGCTTCTTGAACTTTGTCTTCAATTAATAACAACTTTCAATTAATTGAATGATGCCAAAACTAAGCATGCCTACGTGACCACCCATCAGATAAGAAAAGAAGCCTCCCTCCACATTGCTGCTTCAAGCAGCAGTTGGGAGGTATCTCCCCCTCTTGCTGCTTTCTTCCCGCATCTCAGTTCAACAAAAGACTCGATGGCCAGGCCATTTTCTCTCTCTGGAGAAATCTAGTTTATTCTCCATGTTTAGCTTCATTATTCCCTGTTCTCTTCAACAGACACTTTCTTCTTCCTAGAACTTTGCAGTTCTAGGAAGCAGACCTTCAGGACCTTATTCCATGCTCCTTAGAACTTGGTTTTGTGAGGCGGGCATGTGAGTGTCCCTGGAAGAAGAGAAAGGTGTTGGGAGCAGTTAGAAAAGAGAGGCTATTTTAATACGATGCTGTGATAGGTGAAGGGCTCTTGCACAGAGCACAGTGCCAGCTGTTCCCCCGCCGCCGAGAACCAGACGCAGGAGGAGGCCAGCGCTGAAATTGTCAGCACTGACGAGCTTCCTGTCCCAGCTGCTGCCCCCGGTGGGAAGGGCCACCTGGGCAAGCAGTGGGTTCTCGGGTCCTCAGGTGGGGACTGTTGCTGTCTGGAGGGGTGGGGGTGGGGGCGAGGCAGAGGGAAATCCCCCGCTGTGCTGGCCGAGGTCTGGTTGTGGCTGACCCTGGGGAGGCTGTGCAAGCTGCTAGCTGGCGTTTGCAGTGGCAGAAATCGTAATGTTCTGGTCCTCCTCTCTCCTTCAATATTTTGCTTTTTTTTCTTCCTGTTTAATTGTATTTTAAGACGGTAATTTACCAGGTTAAAGCACGGAGATGGTAAAGCTTCCTCCGCAGAGACCTGTCCGGAGGTCCCTGATTCAGCAGCCCAGGCCGCGCTCGGCGCCCGCTGCCTGTGGGGCCGGGGCTGTTTCTCCGACCCCCGCCCCACCCCAGAGGCGCCCGGCCGGGCTGAAGCAGCCGATCCTGTAGCTCGCACTCTGCGACATCACTGCACTCCGTGCCCTGGGGTCTCCGTTTTCCTCCAGGGTTACTACTAGCAAAGGTCTCAGAAATCGTCTGCCACTTTCCAAACGTTTCTGTCAAGTATTGGAACCCATTTCTCCACAAATAAAATACTACAGAGAACCAAAATGTTTAAAATGGATAAAAGCAGAACTGTCCTGGCTGCCGTAGGGCGGGGCACCCCCAGCCCCATGCCGTGAAGCCACCTCGGTGACCCTTTGCAGGGGTTCACCGTTTCTCTACCCGCCTTGCTGTGCCCGGGGAGAAACAAGCCCAGAGAGCGCGAGGCCTGGGGAGCCGGGGGTGTGGGCCGACTGAGGGTCCAGGGCACTTGAGCGTCAAGGCCCTCATCCTTTGCCTCCCGGCCCTAGCCCGGCTCTGGCTGCCCCCTCTCTGCATCCCCACTGCTGCGGGCCCGTAAGCACCTGCCTGGGGTGGGCTGGCCTGGGTACAGCTAGTAGCTGAAGCACCAGGTTGGGATAGGGAGAGAGGGGTTATGAGTATCTGGTTTTTTTCAGGGACGATCCTGCCTCCTCCAAAATCTAGAATGGTAGTCACAGGAGAACCAAGAGTGAGAACGTTCATAGAAAACCCAGGAGGCCCCGACGTGGGCTTGCTGGCCCTGCTGACCCAGAGAGACCGACAGCCCCATTCTGGCTGTGCAGAGGGCCAGCACCAGGGTAGAACCCGGGCAAAGGGCAGTTTCCATAACCGGAGACACAGAGCCCAAGGACTCAGCAAGCCCAAGAATCTCCAGATGAAGCCTTTCTGTCTTTAGGGTGAACACCAGACTCTGATACCCAGCTGCTTAAATCGAGGTGCCTTATGTCTTGAAAAATACAGCCATCATGGGGTGCTTCTGGGCCGACCCACAGGGTCAGCTGCCCCCCTCCCTGGGAAGGGGCCCCGCAGGCCGAGCGGCCGTAGGGGAGAGGCAGCCGAAGCCGCGTGCACGCTGCTGTCTGGCGGGCCAGGACCCACTTCGTCTGCAGCGAGTGGGCCTCTCAAGCCCCTGCCTTGCCCTCACCTGCAGGACCCAGCCTGGGATGCTCATCACCCTTCAGCACTGAACACCTAGTGGTGTCCTAAACCACGCTGCTGCGGCTGCGAGTGTAGTACCTAAACGGGTCTCAAGGTTTTGAAGGGTCTTTGACCAACCAGTTTCCTACGTGAGCCCACCCTTCCCCCAAGAAGCCCCACTGCAAGGAGTTTGTCCCGTGCAGGTGCTGGTGCAAATGCACGAGCGTGGATGTTCACAGACGTCCATCGCTGCATTGATTGGGCCAGCCAGAAAAGAGAGACCCTGACCCAAATGCCCCAAAATAGAAGAATGTCGCAGTGCGTTATAACACACACACAAAGGGATGAGGCGGTCTGTATGAAGTATGGGCAGAGGTGTCTGGGATAGTCTATTGAAGAGAAAAGGCAAGCTGCGAAGAACCGTGTCTTATACTTAAAAAGATGGTTTGTACAAACATGCACTTCGGGACCCCAACAGTCTGTAGTGTGGACATTTGTCTGCAAGAAGGGACTGCCGTCCTTGGGTTCCGAGGGGGCCGAGGGGGGCCTTCTGCCCTGTGTCCTGCACACGCCTGCCTTTGTGGACAAGAATGTACCTGCGCTGTGACTTTTAAGAAGCAGTACACGTTTTCCCAAAAGAAATAAAATGTGACAAAAAGCACAGCCAGCAGGTGGCCAGAGGTGTGTGTCCCCTAGGAGCTGAACCGGACCTGCCGGGCCATGCAGCAGCGCGTCGTGGAGCTCATCTCCCGCGTGTCCAACGAGGAGGTCACAGAGGAGCTGCTGCACGTCAACGACGACCTCAACAACGTCTTCCTCAGATATGAGAGGTGGGGGCCGGCTCCTTCTCCCCTGGAGAGATTGTCGCCACCACAGGGATTTCTGTCTTAAACAAAAGGGAGAGAGCAGATTTGAGAAATCCTCATCACAGATGCTAATTTGTCCCCAGATGGCAGGGAAAATGCTCCTGTTCTCCAGGGAGCCCAGCAGCAGGCAGGTGACTGCAGAACGAGTCTTTGCCCTTTGTGAGCCTCAGGCTGCTCTGCCTCCCGCCCCAGCCCAGCCCAGGGGGGCGGGGCGGCCCTGGAGCTTCTGCACCTGCTGCGAAGAGCCTTTGAATTTGGAAAGGATTAAAGGGCGGGGATCTCTACTAAGGAAAAAAGATTTTCTCTTTTTCATCCCTAAAATGAGAGGCTTTTGCCCCTTCCTTTGCAGACATCACTGTGTCTAGCGTGTTCAGAAGCAGGCAGGGCGTGAGTGCCGCTGGCACGCTGCTGTGGGGGGAAGCGCGCGCACGTTCATTCGGCCCTTTCCTCAGCCAGACCATTTCTGGGTTTGAGGTAACAAACTTCCACATCCTTCTCCCTTTCAAAGCCTCTCTCCAGAAAACGTGCGCAGCTTCCTACTCAGACGCAGTGTTCAGTGGGAGCTGTGACGCGAGCTCGTGTCCATCCCTCCCTCTGGGGGGGCACCTCTGGCCTTCCGGGGCCCCTGACCTAAGTTCCCCAGTGTCAGCCCAGGAGGCACCTTGACCGGGCCAACCTTCTTCTAAGGTGAAGCCCCAGGTCCCCTGGAGAATTGGAGCCCTGCCCGTTGCTGACTCGGGCGTGATAGTCGGGCACCAGTTACGGTCAGTGTGACAGGTGTTTATTTGCGTTGGGATCTTAGAGGTTTTGCTGCGGCTGTCACAACCCTGGGCTTTATCTCAGCCCCACCTGTGGCAGTAGGGAAGGGTGGCCTTGTGTCCACCTGACAGGTGAAGAAACCTCTGCAGGAAGAAAGGGCCACCCAGGGGTGAGCCCGTTGGCAAACAAGAGCAAATCTGCAGTGCGTTGCCTCCCAGCCCAGGACCTCTTGGTCTTGCTGTGTGCTTCTATTTTTTCCACTTTAAATGGGCTTGACTTCTTACCTACTAGGCCCCTTTTAGCCCCTTCTAGGACAGGGTGACAGGAGCTACTGTGGGCATTCGCCGACTCAGCCAGTCCCAGTGTTACCACCGCAGACCCAGAGTCAGGCCCGAGGCCAGCTGCCCCACAGCGCCATCCTGGCCCGACGGGGCACGAAAGGCACTCGGGGCAGGAAGCCCTCGGGTGTATCGGTGCTCCTCCTTGGAGACAGTGGGGTCCACCACGCGAGTCTTAAAACCGCAGCTGGCACACGTGTCCTAACCAGATTGTCCCTTGTGGAGACCCCTGCTCTGTGGGCGTGGCCCTGGCACACCGGCGCCCGGCGTGGAGAGCGGTTCCAGGAGAGTGGTTTCCCCAGGGTACAGGTGCAGGGCGACTCTTAGCTGCCTCTTTGCCCCTGGCATTTGGGGGCTTTTAAATGCAGCAGCAGCCCAAAAACACCCTCACGATTGCCCTCTCCACTCCCCACCCACGCATGAAATGACGTGGATAAGAAAGGAGGGCTCCTGCAGCTGCTCTGGACCAAGTCCCATCCCCGGCCGGCCTGCCACCAGCGGGCTGGGAAGCTGGGTGCAGACACCGCCAGCCGCCCCCTCCCGGGGACCCTTTCACCAGGCCAGAGGCCTGTGCCTGTCTCCCTCCTCCAGGTGCCTGCCCTCTGTGAAATAGGGCCTGGTACCTGGCTTTGCCCTCAGGTAATTGGCTGGCCAACCTCCCCCTCCACTGGCAAGAGGGACACCTGGGGCAGGGTATGAGGGAGGGAATGGCTGGGGGCGCTTCTAATGGCCCCCTGGATGTGCCAGCCAACTCCCTCCTTCCCTCATGTCAGGGTGCCTGTGGGTGAGGCCGGTGGCTGGTCCTCCCTGGGGGAGCCCCAGCCGGGGGGAAGCACGGTGCGGCGTATACGTGGGTCTGCTCCCCCAGCCCCCAGGACGGGCCTGGGTGGTCTCCTTCCTGGAAGCTCCGTCCCCAGAAGCTCCCCACAGGACCAGTGAGCACCATAGTGCCCCTCGCCCCCTCTCCTCACTCTGCATTTCCTTCCTGGTAGGTTCGAGCGATACAGGTCTGGCCGATTGGTTCCAAATGCCACTAATGGAGTAAGTATTCCTTCAGAATTCTCTCGTCTCTGGAGACCAGAAGCTGCCTCAGCTTGGTCTCACCTCTGTTTTCTCTTCTACTGGGTTTAAGTATTTGGTTAACTGAACAGCAGGCTCTGGTTGATGGTACACTGAGCAGGAGCTAACAGGCCCAGCCCCGGGGGGAGGGTGGCTGCAACGCCCCTGCCCTGTCCTGGTGACTGACCCAGCCCTGCATCCTCTGAGGGGGTGCGGGGCTCACCAATAGCCGGGACCCACAGGGGACCCCTGATGTCCAGGGAGGGACACTGCCCAGCATTGGCATAGTGCTGGGACCCTGCACGGTGCCTGTGGGCCTTGTTCTTGGGGACTGGCACACACGGTCTCGTGCTCCAACAGGTGCTGAACGAAGTGACCGAAGACAACTTAATAGACCTGGGGCCAGGGTCTCCAGCCGTGGTGAGCCCCATGGTGGGGAACACGGCACCCCCGTCTTCGCTCTCATCCCAGCTCGCTGGCTTGGGTGAGTAGCTCGTGGGGGGCGCACATGGCCTCCTTGGCGCCACTCCCTGCCTGTGCAGCTGAGCTGAGGCCCCTCTCCTTGTCTTGGTTGGAAGGCCTGAAGAGATCCTTCTGGGGAGCCCATGGGACAGTGATTGCAGGGATTGGGGGAGTTCCAAGGAATAGGAAATTGTTTGCTTTTTAAAAGAAAGGTGGCTGATGTGTTTTCTCTGAAATATTCCTTATGGTTGAAGTGATTTCCTTCTCTATGTCAACTAGGCCAAGGATGGCAAATAAGCTTCAGCTCATTGGCTGCTAGGAACACAGGTTTAAGAAGGATGCTGAAGCCACGTCAGGGCTTGGAAGACAAGGCTGTGACCGGTGGTGCCTGCCACAGGCTTGGCAATGGGAAGTGACAGCAGCGACACTCTCGCTGTCCTTGACCCAGCACCAGCCCACAGCCTTCCACCGTCTGGAACTGTAAACCAGAAACACCGCTCTTCCGGTCGTTCCCTTTAAGAGTGTGTGTGACCAGGTGCCGCAGACGCTGGGCGTGGCGCCAACGTGCAACCAAATTAGAGCATTGAAATAACAAGTGTGGCCCTCTCAGAATTCTTTCTCTTATGTTTCTTAGTGCGTAAGATTTACCTTTCTACTTTCATTTCATTTCCACTGAAATGAGCTCTTATTTTTGGCTTTTTTAAATCTCCTGTCTGTACGCGTCTATCTTTTAGAACTGGTTTCTCTGCCTTTCATCCATCCAACATGTGGCTACTGGATTTAATATCCAAAATTCAAGTTAAATTATGCTGCCTCCCTTCGTTGAAAGGCCTGATGTTTTTGCCATCAGCCCCTTTTCCGGGCGTTGACCGTCTTGCACCTGCCCTTCCAGACTCCCCTGTGCCCGCCGTTCATCACACACACGCACGGCTCCCAAGCGCTGACCCTTGGCCCCACCCACCTTTTACCGCTGCTCCCCGAAGCACAGTCCCGCTTGTCCTTAAAGACCCGTCCTGTTTCAGTTGGAGGTTTTTTCTGATATCTCAAGCCAAGTACGGCTGTTGTCTGTCTCCTGCCCACTCTGTGAGCCCCTTGAGACCAAGGACCACATCAGACTCAATTTGATCCACTCAGGTTCTAGTTCTGAACATGCTGGGGAGCTGCGAAATATTTGGCAGGTCACTAAATGGCCCAGGTCCTTAAACGCCCGTTGAGTTGATGAGGAAGCCCCTAAGGTGGGCGGTCCAGGTAAAGATGGAGGGTGGGGGCGGAGGGGGTGGCCCCGCCTTCTCACCGCGAGCAGTCTCCCTGTCATTCCAAGCGGCCTCCCCACGCAGAGCGCCTCATGGGCCAGTGGTGGCTCTCCATCGGGCCCACACCCGTGGCTGCTCCTGTGCGTGGTGGCCTGGAGGTGCTGAGGAAAGTCCTCTGTCCCCTGCCTACCACCCCCACACTTTGAGCTTCTCAGCGACATCCTGAATTGGGACCCTCCATTGAGTCCAGGATCCACATTCTGTTCTCATCCTCCCCTTGTTTCTTTTGCCACAGACTTGGGGACAGAGAGTGTCAGTGGCACCCTCAGCTCACTCCAGCAGTGTCATCCTCATGATGGCTTTGACATGTTTGCCCAGACGAGAGGGAACTCCTTGGCTGAGCAACGCAAGACGTACGTAGGGTCATTTCTGTGGCTCTTGGGAGATCCTGGGGGAGGATTGATCTGGGCCTGGTCACGGGCCAGCGCAAAGATGCCTTGTATTTACGAGGCCTGGGACTGCCCAGAACTGTGAAATGTGGCTGTGAGGGCTTGGCAGTAGGCACAGATGCTGGCCGAAGGCCAGCCCCGCCCGCCTGGGGGTCGGTCATAGTGGGATTTCTCCTGTTAGTCACGAGAGAGCGCCCTGCTGCTCCTTCGGCTTGTGCCGCCGCTGCGGGAACCTCGTCTGCGCGAGGAGCCAGAGCCAGGAGGGCGCAGCCAGGCAGCACTGAGCTGAGTTCGAGCTGCGAGGCTCTCCTGCCCGGAGCGTGGGCAGGGGCTCCCCTGTCGCGGCCCTGGCCAGGACGAGCCATGTGGAATTGAGGGGTTCGTTCCCAAACAAACAATGCCCTGCACCTCAGGGAGGCGCTTTCCGTTCCGCCTGCGGGTCGGGGGAACGCTTTTCCCAGCCTTTCCCAGGCGCTCGGCACCAGTGCAGTCAGCGTGCCGGGTCCCGTGCTCCGCAGTCAGCAGGCTGACCTCGATCCCAAGGCCCCACGTGCCCTTCACCTTCAAACGTTGCTTTTGGAATGGATACAGTGAAAGGGGTCAGAGAGCGAAGGAAGACACCCATCAGAATCAGTGACAGGCCCCCACCCTGGACCTTGCTCACCAAACCCCACTGCCGCTGCCGCCTTTAAAATCAGAAGGCATAGTCCTTGGCCTTTATCTCGCCTCTCCCTCTGAGCAGTCTCGGGGCACTTCTGACATCCTGTCATTGAGCTTCGGAGGTGCCCTCGAACTGTTACAAGAGTAACCTGGAGGCGCGTGGCGTCCTGGCCCCTGAGGACATGAGCAGCTGGGCTGGTGCGGGGCCCCGGCGGGCCTCCTGGCCTCGGTAGCAGTGAGGCCAGCAGCCGAGCATGGCCTCCGCCCGAGCGCCAAGGACGTGTGCGGAAGGCACGGCTAGAGCACTGACTCTGCCTGTGCTGCTTCGCCTCCAGGGTAACCTACGAGGATCCCCAGGCTGTCGGAGGACTCGCTTCTGCTCTAGAAGGTCGGAAACAGATCTCCGAAGTGGTAGGTCATGAACCCGAGTGTTTGCCTGGAGGCCTCTGGAGGGGAAGTCAGGCAGTTTGGTAAAGCTGCCTGCGAAATACTGTCCTTAAAGACACTAAATGGATGATTTCGCAGCGGCTGGCTTGCACAGAGGGCGGGACACACTGGGGAAGACTGGGAGGAGAGCACCGTGTTCCGCAGGGGGTTCTCACCCCACCCCATGGTGACACCCTGGGTCAGCTTTCCCGTGACACTGGAGAGGAAACAGGCACCCAGCCGGTAGACAGCAGGTGGAGGTGCACTCCTGGGAGGCCCAGCTCTAGGATGCTGCTCCTCCTACCTTGGTGGAGCCAGGCGGGTCTCTCCTCAGATGCTGCAGAGCTCGGGGTGGGGGGATGGGCAGTGCTCTGGCAAAGGAATGCTGTCTGGAAGGAGGGGAAACGCTGACGGAGCCACAGCTGTGCTGATCACTGGCCACTGGTCCTGAGGAGCAGCACCCACCTCATCAGAGGGGAGCTGATGGTCAGGGTTTGTTTGGGGAGCTGGCAGGGAGGTGTGGGAGGAGCAGCTGGGGGCAGCCAGGAAGGTGTTCTGGGAAGTCCCTTGTCTGGAAGGACCGGAGCTGAAGGCAGAGGGACTTGGACGTGGAAGGAGGCAGTTTTAGAGCCCCAGACGCACCCTGATTTCTGTAGGATTTCAGATCCTCGCAGGGGAAAGGACTCAGTGCTTCTCCTGAGATTGTTTCCCTTTTGGCTAAGAAATGGATGTGGGCTTGTGTGAACGAATGCTTGTTTGCCAGGGTGGGGGAAGGGGGGCTGGGACTCCTTCAAAGGCTGCCCAGCTCAGCTAGAAAGGGGCGGGCTCGTCTGTGCCCTGTGTGGGGAGGCCGGCCTGCGGCGGCCCCTGTCCACATGGGCCTGGGGGGGGGGGGCAGCAGCGCTGCGGCCTGGGCACCTTGGACAGCTTGTGGGGTGGGCGGGGGGAGGCAGGGACCCCTCACCCTCCTGTCTTGATAGAAAGGCTGTGCACTGGCCACCAGGGGGCACAGGAGAGCCAGCCCCATGGCCTTGGTCTCTCAATACCCAGCCTTTCCACAGAAGGGTCGGCAGTGCCACCTGAACCCAAAGCCGGGACCCCCAGAATCTGTGCAGTGACCATGGTTCTGGTTCTCCCATTACTTAGAATGTCCTCCCTTCTAATGCAGGGAGGGCGCTGGGGAGCCGGGCTGAGGGCCCGCCAGACCCCTGCCGGGTGGGGGCGCCCCTCCGCCCGGCCCCGCGCGGCCCCTCCGCCAGGCTGACTTGGTTTGCTTCGCTCTGTCTCCAGGGCCCGCACGTCCGTGCCGTGCTGTCCTACCACAGCTCTGCCATCGTCAGTGCCCGCGCCTGGGTCCGAGCCCACCGTCACCCTCTGGGGTGTGGCTTGGCCGGTCTCTGTTGGCAGCGGTCTTAATGACCCCGGCATGGTTCCCACGTGATGGTAGACAGATTGCTTTTCACATTTGCTGCTCAGTGAGGCAGTGCAGGGAAGCAGGGCTCGATCAGCTGTGTGTCCGTGTGTGTCTGTGTGTGTATGTATATTTGTGTCTGTGTGCCTGCGTGTGCCCGTGTGTGTGAACCTGTGGGCATCTGTGTGTCTCTCTGTGTCTCTGTGTGCCTCTGTGTGTCTGTGTGTCTGTATCTGGGTATGTCTGTGTCTCTGTGTCTCTGCGTCTGTGTCGCCGTGTGCGTTTGTGTCTGTGTCTGTGTGTCGCTGTGTGTGTGTCTGTGTCTCTGTGTGTCTCTGTGTGTGTCTGTGTGTGTTGCTCTGTGCTCACACACTGACTCACGTGCATCTTCAGGCTCTGCTGCCCCGCACGCTGACTCGTGCGGCCTGGAAATGAGAACCGGGTCGGAAGGGAGAGTGAGAGCGCGCCACGGGGGTGTTGTGCAGCCGCGCCCCCACAGTGCGACCGGATTCAGTTGTCTTGATTTTAAACGCTTCTATCATTTGAAAAAAAAGGTGCCCTGGCTGGGGAGGTCAGTTGACGGCAGGTTTGATCCTCAGTTGGGCACATACAGAAGGCAACCGATCAGTGTTTCTCTCTCCCTCTCCCCCTTCCCCTCCCTCTCCCCGGTTTCCTCTCTTTCTAAAATCAATAAACATATCCTTGGGGGAGGATTAAAAAACAATTTTTTAAAAAGGTAATATATCCAAATTCAGAGTTTAAGTTATGAGTTTGAAAAAAGAACACACAGGTAACTGAGGAGGGAAAAGGGAAGAAAAAGCAAAAATAAGTTAGAAAAAAGTAGAAATGGTTTTGTAAAAGCTGGTTTTTTGATAAGCCGGCGCTCCGCCCACCGCGGAGCCCTCCCTGGGAGAGGCCCCAGGGTGAGCTCTGGGCCTTGCGGGGCTTCCCGGCGCAGGAGTGGTTGGCTGCGTGTGTGTGGCCCTGTTGAGACTCTCGGTTACTAAACTTCTATTTTCCAGGTAGGTGAGGGGGACGCACTGCCCAGGGGCGGGGGGCGGGGTGCATCGGGTCACGTATCCTTACGTGACACATGATCGACTCTGAACCGGGGCTCCTCTGTTTCCGTGAGATATGTGCTATTGCTCCTTTATCAGTGGCCTTGCTGTGACTTTTCTTTCTGGGACTTTTCTGTCCTCCATCCAGAAGAGAATTAAAGGTGGGGACTCTGACCTGGAGCCCATAGACAGCTGGCTCATAACCCAAGGAATGGTGAGAGGTCACCAGCTGAGCACAGCCCCTTGTCCCCCCAGCGCTTACCTGTGTCACCTGCTAAGCCCTTGTGAGTCAGACAGTACAAGGCCATCCTCTCCTCCTCTCTGGGTGCCAAATTTTCTCCTCGTATCTTTGTAAACTCTCCTTAAGTCATAGGCGTCCAGCCCCAGAAAACACCTGCTCAGGTGTTCTGCTGAGGTCCGGGCCGCGGGGCCTTAGGGCCTGCGCGTGTTCAGGAGTGAGGGAGGCCCACAGCGCTCACTTTTCCCAGATGGGCACAGTTGCTGTGGCTTTCGCTTCTCAGAGAAGAGACTCAGATCTCCTGCCCAGTTGGCGAAGCCCCTGCAGCCAGTGAGCTTGGCAGTCCTTGGCTGATGGGCTCTGCTCTACTACAGGGCAGCAGTGGCCTGTGCCACCGTGTCCCTCAGAAGGATCTGAGACTGCTCAAAGAGACACACAAACAGTAGGGACAGAATAAAAAGACGAAGCCACAGCGTTTAATATAAATGCACTTCGCAGGAAGTAAAGTTTTCCTGGGACACAGACCTGGGAGGGTCTTTCCTGCCTCTTCTGGTCAGGTGGCCCTGAGCCGGTACCTACAGAGAGGGTGACCCTGCTCCAGGCCGCTTGCCTTGGGGCGGGCAATTGTGGCCCTCAGCGAAGCCACAGCCCTTACTCACACCCAAGGTAGAGATCGAAGATCTGTGCGCAGCAGCGGGGGGCTGCAGAGGAGGAAAGAGGGGAAAAGCGGCGAAATCAGAGGCCTCTGCTTGCAGTTGGAGTCAGGGAGACACTGGATACATCCCGGGGGAGAAGCAGAGCTGATCCTCCGGGACTGTGCGAGGCTGCGGCCCGTAGGCCAGGAAAGCGTGCTGGGGCAGGGCCCTGGGCTCGGAGCTGGCGACCTCTGCGCGCCTCGCTCCAGGGGGCCCGGCTCCCTCCGCCTGCCAGACCCCACGGCCGGCTTTAGAGTCGGGGGCTGCCCGAGCCCCTCGTTTGCTGCGTCAAGGGCGGGCTGGCGCTTTGGCCCACAAGCGCAGCTGGCTGCAGAGCAGGGCTCCCGGAGACCATGTCCACGCCATTGTCCAAATTGGGAGGATCCAGCCATGCGTCCTTGTGCCTATTAATCCTGCAAAAAAAAAAAAAAAAAAAAAAAAAAAAAAGGTTTTGCCCACAAAAATTACCCTGAGTGTGGCCTTGGCAGCTGGGGGTGGTGCTGGCCTCTGCCCACACAGGCCGCCCCCCAACTACCCTGTCTCCTCCTAGAGCTCCAGTCTCTGACTCCCCAGAAACAAGCCCAACTAACCACTAACCTGGTGCCTCCTGCCTGGCTCAGTGTTTTTCTTTTAAACGATGTACATTAATTGCTTTGCCTTATTTCCTGTAGTGTAGAACCCTGAGTGTTTCCAAACCCCCCAGGTACAGATTCTTTATTTGGAAACTTTTTGTACTATCGAGAGAAGCCAGAGGGCTCACCGACGGGCCCCAGGTCGGTGTGCAGTGGGAGCCTGGGAGAGGATCCCACCCTGCCCCAAGCCGCAGAAACGGCTCCTGCGGCACTGGAGATCAGACCGCTAGACTTCCTCGGCTGTCGGCGCTGTGGGAGTCAGCCCCTCACACTCCTGGGACTTGCAGCACCAAAGTTAACAGCAGGCCCTTGCCAGTTGGAGAAAGCCCGAGAACCGTCAGGACCCAGCCTGTGCAGACACTGCCGATGTGGCGCGTGCGCTCCCGCCCCGCCCGCTCCAGCTTGCGGGCCTCTTTCCGGCCTCTTTCCAGCTGTGATTGGAGAGGAGTGTCCCCCATGGAAACTGGAATTGAATGTCTGTAGGTCCCAGCAAGAGCAGGAGTGGTTAGTCTAAAGATGCTGCTGCCAAAGCCCAGGTTTGGGGTGGGGGTGAGGGCTCCCTACTCAGACCTGGAGGACCCCATACACAGCCAGCACGAGGTCAGAGAGCCCACCGGCTGCCACCAAGCTCGTGGCAGCACCACCTGCCTTTGGGCAGGTGACCTCCTGCTCCCTAAGCAGAGCTGCCCTGCCCACAGGCAAGCGAGGAGCAGCTGACAGCAGAGAGCTCGCCCTCCACTGTGGTCCCCATCTGCCAGCGGCTCCTGGACTCCGCACATGGGCTGGGCGCCCCTCGCGGTCGCCTCTGCCGAGCCTGCCCTGCCTGCCTGCGCTCGGAGGGCATGAACCCGGGACCCTGGTCTTCGTGGCGGGTGTTCTTGGAGGGACTTCTTTTATCTTTCTCTCTTCACATTCTTCCTTTCTGGCTCCCTCCTCAAACTTGCTCTTCTTCAAACCCCTTGGACCAGCTTTCAGCTTGGATAATGACTCCAGAAGATGCTAAAACCACGGCGGGACAGAGCCCACGGTCCCTTAGGGAGAAGCTGGGCGGGCCCTCATTTGATGGCTGAGAACAGTGAGGCCTCGGGCCCAGTGACGTGCCCGAGGCCACGGGGCAGTGGCAGGGCCGGTGCCCCCTCCTCCCAGCGAGGCCTCGCCTTTGCTTCTACCAGCTGGGTGGGGAGTGTCCTCCCCTCCCTGGCAGTCCCTCCAGGCCCCGTGGGTGGGGCAGCGCGCCAGCTCGGTCTGTCTAAGGGCACCTGCATCCGAGAAGGGATTGCACCCAGGAGTGACCTTTACGGCCCTGATTTGGCGGGGGTCCTGTAGCTGAGGTAGTGTGCGACCTTCAGGGCGGCCCCTGCCGCCTTTTCTGCAGGCTTCAGCGTTGGCCCGGCTGCAGGAGTTGGGATTCGAGCCCTGAGGCCCAGTGCCTTTCCTATTCCAAGGAGCCAGTTCCAGTAATTTCTGACATCTCTTGGTTTCTTTTTAAATTTTTTTTAACAACTGATAGTCAATCTATTAAAAAGATTGATTTAAGCATCTGCAATGGAGACTTGAGGCCTGGCTCACTAGGGAGGGAAGGCGCCTGCGTAACACTCCAGAGGGGCTGGGTGAGCCAGCCTGTCGCTCGGGGACCCTCATCTGAAACTGATCCGTCTCAGAACCCTCCCCACAGGGATTTTTTTTATGTAGCAATTCTCAGAGTCTTGGTAGGCATCTGACTTGGCCCTCTCACTTTGAGAAGATTCTTTTCCTTTGAGCCTCTGATCTAGTCAGCGCATGCATCCAAAGACCTGGCGCTGCGGCTGGGTAGAGAGTAATTCTAATGTGGTGAATCGCCACCTCTGGTCCCCCGGGTGTCTTTCCAGTATCTTTAAAAGCCATGGCTGGGGAGCGGCTTCCTGAACACTTGTTCCTCCACAAGAGAGAACAGCTGTGAGTCTGGAACAGGAGCGGGCGGGACGGCGCTTTGCTGCTGCAGCAACCGTGTCTGCCTCAAAGAGCTGTCCCTGGGTTTCTGAATCCAGAAACAGACACACCTGCCTGGAAGTTAAAGGACTTGGAATTGTGGATGGTGAACACCAAATACCACTGAGCTATCATCCTGTTTCACAGATGAGGAAACGGAGGCCAAGAATTGCCTGAGCCCCTACCCCTCCTCCTGCCTGTCCACAGGAGGCTTGGGGCTGGGAGGCTTCTTAGGAAGGTGGAGCCTCTGGAGCCCCTGGTGAGAAAAAATGCCAGAGGGAGGGGCTTGCCGGGACCCGCCTACTGGGCGCTGGGCCTGGCCTGCAGGACGCCTTTCCGTGAGCACCCTGCGTGTGTGAGGAGGTCTAGGAGACGGAGGAAACGTGGTCTCCTGACCCAGCCTTAGGGGACCTTTCTGTAGTGGGTGAGGGGTTTCGCCAGCATCGGTGTTTATTTTCTGAGCATGCAGCTTTGCAGGATTAATTCTCAAAGGAGTAAACCTGGAGCATGATCCCCGGCTTCAGGGGACTTATTTTTGAACAGCAACAAAAGAAAAAAAAATCATAAGCTAAACCTGAAGGTTTAAGGCCCGTGGACCTTCCGTTTCTCCTAGGTGCACTGAGGCTGGGAGGTAAGGAGCCCCACCTGCCCTCCAGCGGCTGCTGCCGGCTGTTTTCTCTTTGAAGACGTGGCAGACTTTCTGAGCGTTAGTTCTGGGAACCTGGCACGGCACACACCCTCCCAGGGGCCTGGCATTCTGACGTAGAAGCATCAAGGTGTGAGAACCGGCATGCCCTGGCCCGGGTGTGTGTGAGGGCGGGGCCGGCCAGCGCGGGCGCACCCTGCAGGCCCTGCTGCTTTCTCTTAGGGGGGAAGGCGGTGCTGCCGTCAGCGCTCTTGGTAGCCCCTCTGGGCTCGTGTGACCTCTAGGGCAAGCGTCACGTGTTCTTTGTCTCCAGGAGTCACTTCAGGGTGATTTGAACTCCTTGATATTTTTTCATTCCAACATACTTAAGTCCTTAGTAAGTCAAAGAAAGAAAACAAAAACAGACTCTTGAGCTGTTCTTAAGTGTGTGTGGCCTGCCCCGCTGGGTCTGTAGCTCGGCCCAAGCACAGCAGCTGCCCCAGCTCACCGGAGGGAGAGGCCTCCGGCCTCGCTGAACGAGCGTGCGAGGCCTGCGGCCACAGTGCAGGCGCCTGCCTGCTTGGCATGCGTGGGGGGCTGCCCGCCCAGTGCCCTCCCCGGACCCGCCAGTGGCAGGTGTCTGCCTTGAGGAGTGGCTTGTCCCAGCAGGGCAGGGCTAGTGCTGGGAAGTCTTCATTCTCCTCTCTCAAGATAGTGTTGCTTTTTAGATTTGGCATAGTTCTGAAAGAGTCCTCTTACTGCTTATTTTATTCTTAGCCTAGATTGTGACATTGGGGTGAAGCCAGCTATGGACTCAGTGCTGGCAGTTCTTCTAGAAAGTGTGGGATTGTGAGTGAGCCACCTGAAGACACTTCCGGAGCCCAGGCTGGTTGGGGAGGGAGAGCTCGTCGCGTAAGGCCGGTCAGCTCATGGTCTAGGCTGGGAGCCACCATTCCATAATGTGACTTCTGGGGGTGAAAGGCTACCTTTACTCCTTTTCACATCATGCCTGACAGCAGCTTAAATATTTCTAGCCAAATGCATTGTCAGAGGCGGGTGTCCCTATGTGGGCCCTGCTCAGGCACCCCCAGGGTGCGTCTTCGTTTGCTGGGGAGCCCAGTCGCCACCGCCCACTGCTCCCCAGACCTCAGTTGAACTTCTTGATCACCGAAAGCTTGGAGGAAGGGGCAGGACTAAAGGAAGCCATTGCATTCAGACTACTTAGTCTCCTAAAGAAACACAAAGATGACTAAAGCCCCACAGTCCCTCCCTTTGTCATCGAAGCCTTTGTTTTTGTTTCTGTTGGTGGTGAGATGTGCAATCTTGTAGAGGCCACACCTAGACCCCAGTGCTTCCCTGCTACTCAGAGATGCACCAGGACATGCCCTGAAACACTGTCAGTGAGCAACCGGCCGAGCGGCCCCCTGGGCAGACTCCCTGGCGGACTGCGGGGTTGCCTGAGCACCCGAGCCTCCTTTCTGGGCCGACCGCCACGGGTGGCTCCTGGGTCACCCCTGCCCCCCAAGGACTGGGTCAACAGCAGCTAGACAGCACTCCTCCAATTGTCATCACCGATGAGTTCAAAACCGGCCGCAGGGGCTGCGCGTTGCTGAGATTAGAGGGCGCCTTGCAGACCGGTGTGCGACTGACACCGCAGTCAAAAAGTTCTCCATCTCAAGAACGTGTGCTGCCCCCTCCCCGCCATGGCCCGTCCCGCTGCTCCGCGCCGGCCTCCTCGCTGGCCTCCTCGCTGCTGCCCTCCCCTGTCATCTCCTGTGGCTGCCTCGCGTTGCCCACGCCTGCTGTGCCAATGCGTTTTTTGTTTTCATTGTTTTCTTTTTGCTCTGTGTGCGTTTTGGTTTCATTTGGGGGTTGCTTTTGATGATTTACTTTATTTGGTGTTCTGTCTCCCCCCGCCTGGCTGTGCGGCTGCCTGGCCTGCTGCTTCCCGCCTCCATAGATCCCCGTTGCGCAGCCCTCTGTCATGGACGACATTGAGGTGTGGCTGAGGACGGACCTGGTGAGACTCGACTTTTCTCTTTCAGGTGTGGGGTGTGGCAAGGACAGGCCGCGGGGACAGCCCGAGGGGGCTGCTTCCCGGGGGGGAGTGGGGTGGAGGAGGGGGCAGGGGCAGGTGTGGCTCCTATGGTCCGGGCACCTTGCCGCATGGCCGGCTCCTGGAGCCTGCGGAGGCGGCTGTGCTGAGCTCCCGAGAGCCCCGTCCCCAGCCCGCCAGGCGCCCGGCGGAGCCGGGACACAGCCAGCTCCGGCTGGCTCCCAAACACGCCTCCGTTTCCCCAGTTACTTTTCAACTTCAGGTGTGTGTGCGCTTGGGTTCTTTTGGTTTTTGTTTTCTTTTTGTTTTGTTTTTTTGTAGGGGAGTCTGTTTTTGAGGGGGAGTCTGTTTTTTGCTTTCTCATTTCTTTTCGTTGTGACGTATACAGAGGACTGGGCTGTTAAATCCACTGTTACGTCGCTTTCCCAGCATCTTCTTCTGTCTTGGGCCTAAGAGAACCCTGCCTCAGAAACCGTTGTCTCTGTCCGCAGAGACAGGGTGGGCGGACAAGCAGCAGGCCCTGGGAAAGGCTGGCGTCCGGGTCGAGCCCTCCCTCTGGGTCCCTCCCTCACTTCTGCTCTCTGTAGCCTGAGCTGCAGGCGGGTGGGCGCTGTGGCCTGAAGGCTGATGAAGAAAAGCCCTCTGGGAGGGAAAGGGCCTGCCCAAGGTCCGGAGCTGGAGCTGGCTGGATTCTTCCCCAGGCCTGGAGATGCCTCGCCTCTTGCTCCCAGCTGCCTCCCCAGAGTTTGTCAGGCCTTTACCCACAGCCGGCCTAGCCGGCTGTGGGCTGCCTGTGGCCCCCACACACAAGGGGAGCAGACCTGAGACAGGGCTTCCCGCCCCTTGGGCCCCCTCCCTGGAAGGCCAGGCTTCCCAGCAACAGGCTTGGCCCCCCAGGTGCCATGCCATGGGAGCAAGAAGGTGCCACGTTGTGCCTTTCCCAAGGGAATACCTGAAAAAGGGAGTCCACTCACAGCAGCGAAGCAGGAGGGCCAAGGCCCTCACTCCGCAAGGGGCACCCTAAGGTCCAGACGGACTGCAGAGCAGGCCAGTGGCAGAGCCAGGGAGGAGGGTGGCCTCCTGCGCCCCACAGGGCCTCGTCCGCCTCCCTCTGGCCCTCTGCTTGTCACCGGTGAGGCAGCAAGGCCTCCGTGGCCACCGTGTTCTCCCCGCAGAGCCAAGGCTCACCCACTCTCATTACCAAGAGGAGGCAGAGCCTGCACGGCTCCGCAGGAGCAGCAGCAGGGCTGGGGCTGGGCCTCTGGAGAAGGCCGGCGCAGCTCCTGGGCGGCCCGGGACGTGGCTTCCTGCCGGGCAGTGCTCTGCTGCAGGCGCGGCCCGGTACCAGGCCCTGTGCTGTGGCTCCGTGGCTCTGGCCCTCCCAGGCTTTCTGTGGTCCCCAGCTGCGGGCATGGATGGCGACTTCCCAGAAGCCTGCTGGCTGCGAGCGGTGCTGAGGACGGAGCTCCAGGGGGCCTGGGCGTGCCTCGTGGGTGGGTAACCTTTCACCCTTAGATGGGTGGGCACAGGCCTTCCGTGGGCCCGCCCTGCAGCTCGCCCTGAGAGCCAGCTTGCACCTTTTTAAAAAATTTTTCTGTTGGGCCCTTCTGGAGAATCAAAACCTAGAACCTTCTCACGTGGTTTCTGTTTTTGCTTTTTAAAAACTGTTTCTGTTTCTCCAATAAGACAGCACTTGGCTGTCACAGACCGGGCACGGGAGCTGGGACTGTGGGGGTGAGGGGCGGCCCGCAGGTCCTGATGGGGTCTCTCTGCTCCTCCCACAGAAGGGCGACGACCTGGAGGAGGGCGTCACCAGTGAAGGTACGGCCTGCCTGTCCCCGCCGCCTCGGCGCCCCCGCACCCTGCCCATTGGCCTGCTCGCCCAGGCCTCGGGCGCACACAGAGGCTGGCCCCCCAGCTGCTGGGCGCCCGCTGGTGCCGGGCCTCTGGGGCAGGAGCTTTGAGAGTCTGTCCCATCCCAGCCTCATGCTGGTAAAGGGAAGTGTCAGAAAGAGCGTGCGACCTTCAGAAGGTCACAGAGCTAGTGAGTAGTAGGTACATACTGCCATCCCATGTCAGCATGACCCCAAAACCTGTGCTCCTAAGCAGTTTGCCCCACCGTCAAATGCTCCATCCGGCCACGGCCAGGCCTGGCGTCCTGGGGCCTCCCTCTGGAGACCCAGCCGAATGGGCCACGTGGGAGGCCCATCTCGGTCCCTGCACTGCCCCCTTCCCTTGCCCCTTCCCCCTCCACCTCGGCTGCTGGCCTTTCCTCGTGCTGCCTCCTCACTTGGGCTGAGCATCTGGCCAGGCCCCTTCAGGCACAGAAACTTGCTTATGGGTTGGGGGTTCCCTGCCGAAGCTGAGTGGGGCCACCCCTCCAGCTCTCCCTGCCCTGCTTCCAGTGCTGACCGGCAGCGTGGAGAAGCTCCCAACCGAAAGGGACAGGAACGTAACTGTCCTCCCCCCCCACCCCTCATCGCCGGGCTCCCCACTCGTCCTGGAGACAGGGCGGGCGATCCAGCCAGGTCCCAGGCACCCCGGCTCTGGCTGGTGGCCCAGGCCAGTGGGCCCAGGGTTGGGGCTCAGGCTGGGGTGGCCCTGTGGGCTCGAGTGGTGCCAGGTGGGGAGCAGGGAGGATGTGGCTCTTAGAGCCTCTGTGCAGGCCTGGCTGCCCACCAATCCTGGCTCCTGCCTTGGTTTCATATCGCAGAGTTTGATAAGTTCCTTGAAGAAAGAGCTAAAGCTGCTGAAATGGTTCCCAGTCTCCCCTCACCCCCCGTGGAGGCCCCAGCCCCGGCCTCTGGCGCCACCGGCCGGAAGAAGCCCGAGCGGTCAGAAGACGCCCTCTTCGCCCTGTGAGCCGGTCTGCAGTTCCTCTGAAGGCAGGGCTCTCCCGTCCGCGCCCTGTCCGCACCAGGCACCGGCCCCCTCCTGCCCCCGGTTCCCGCTCGGCCCTGCAGTCCTGCACTGCTCTCTGTGGAAACGCCGCTGCGTTTGCTCCCAGGCCTCCCACTGGTCAGGACAGCCTCAGCCACCTTCTCTCCGGATGATGCGACAGTGTCACTGTGGCCGCGGGCCCCTCCCGCCCCCAGGCTCCCTCTGCTCATAGTTCCTCCCAGGAGGATGGGGCAGCAGGGCCCAGCCTCAGGCAAGGCCACCGACCCGCAGAGAAGGGGGTCAGGCCCTGGCCCTCCCTCCGTGTGGCCTGGCTCGGTGGGCCTCAGGCTGGCCGCCCTCCCTGCCCCTCTTTAAGAAAGGGCTTGTCCGCACCTGCAGGCTCGGTCTCCTCCTGGGCTGCTGCTCTTGGACACGTGTCACCTGGCAGCACGTGGCATGCTTAGCACTTTAGACGGCTCTGCGGGGTGCCTCTGCGAGATGTCTCTCTCCTTGAACCTCTCTCTGCCACTGGGCAGCTGCGCGTGGGACCAGCAGCCCCTCTGGCCTAGCATACTGCTGGCCGCGGGGGAGGGCGGCACGCAGCCAGCGGACAGCCCGTGGCCACTGGTGAGCTCCTGCAGAGGCGACGCTCCCGGAAGCCGAGCGTCCACACTACACGCCCTGCCCACAGCTGCCGCCTGCAAGGGCTGCCCCGCGGCCTTGCTCCGGGTTTCCAGCAGGCTGTGCAGGGCCCCGGCCTGGCCTACGGCAGCCCCCAGGCCCAGCCACAGACAGCTGTGGACCATGCGCGGATCCAGAGCGACACCGAGGTCTCTGTTCTTGGCGTGGGCCTTGGCCTTCTCCCCAGACTGTTCAGACATCCTGACCTCCCCCACCCCAGATGCCCCCAGGCCAGAGATTTGTATTCTCTCCCAGCCAACCGAGAAGACTGGCAGCCTGGGGTCACAGAGGCTCACGATACCTGCCCGCGCTGCTGCCACCCCGGAAACGCAAAGGCTGCATGGCTGCGTTGCTCCCTCCCATGGCCTCTGGGGCCCGGGCCAGCGTTCGGCCTGTGCGGGCCAGGCACCAGGGTCAGGCTTGGCCCGCCGCCATGTGTTCGCGCCCTGCGGTGTGGCCGGCCTTGCCCGCCTGACCACCTGTGCGGGAGGAGGGGAGCTGGGCTGGCCCAGGCACAGGGGAGCGCCGCGGGCCCAGAGGACGGTGGGAGGCCGTGCCGCCCGCCTACAGAGCCGTCCTGGTGGCAGCGAGGTGCCGTGCACCCCAGAACCCCAGGCCCAGTCTAGTGCTGTTGCAGCTTCCTCCAGAAAGGAGGCTTTGCGATCTGGCTGGGGGTCCATCTGGCAGGACCAGCTAGAGAGATCACACACAGCAGGTCCTCAGAGGACACCCAGGAAACAGCTGGGAGCTCAGCTGGACAGATTCCGTCTCGGCAGCTCGGCCACACCCCAGCTCTCCCTGTGCCCTGGCCCTGTCCAGCCGATGCCTCTCTCCTCACTTCCTGAGGGCAGAGCCAGCTGGCATGTTAACACTCAAGTTAGCTGGCTTGACCTGAGCTGTGGAGAAGGTGGCTGGGTGGCAGTTGTACCCAGCGAGCATCCCCGGCCCTTTCTCTGTGATGCACAGTCCATGCCAGCGGGCAGCTGGGCTTTGGGCGGGTGATCCTGCAGGACAGCCATCGGTGTCCTGTGGAAGAGGGAGTTTCTGCAGACCAGGAGCCTGAAGGGCCTGAGGGGAGAGCAGGCTCCTGGCTGAAGCGCACCCCTGCCATGGGAGAGCCCAGCAAAGCTGCTCCTAACTCATGTGCACAGTCCAGAGCCACACTGAGCTCCGGCTGGGTGGCAAGGGCTGGCACGAAGGCATTGCTCCACACACAGCAGTGCCACCTGCCTCCCAACCCAGAGCCACCCCTCCTACCCATACATCACCTCCAGAGGCAGCCTGCCCCCACCTGCACAGGAAGCCCGTGCGGGCCCAGGTGCCATTAAGGGATGGGGTGCCACTCAGGCCACCTGCTTAGGATGGGAGCAGAACCCCCCCAGCAGAGGGGGACCCTCGCCAGCTACCAGCCTTTCCACAAGTGTTAGAAATCACAGATACAGTGTATACTTAATGACACTAAATTATTTCTGGAATTCCTTATAAGCACTAATTATACCTGATTATAGGTTAAAATATTTATTTTGTCAAAATATTTTGTTGGGGACATGTTTAACCTTCTCTGTGTTCATTGTGTGCTGAGACGCGGAAACTAACCATTCCCCCTGCCGGCCTCTGGTGGTGGGCCGACGGGGCGGCACGAGGCACAGCCTGACCCAGGGCGCTGGTGGGCCTTTGGCCAGTGTCCCCGCCAAGGATGCCCAGGGGCCCAGCACAGGTGCCAGCTCTCATCAGCACGCACGAGATGAGGGGGTCTGGAGCCGAGAGGGCTTGTTGCAGGCCTGGGCCAGGGCCTGGAGGACTGCTCACCTCATCTCTCCTCCATTGCCGGCTCTGCAGGGCGAGTGACCGTGCTGCCTGCCCTCACTCTTGGCCCCGCCCTTCCTCGCCCGGGCTCCGGAGCAAGAGGACCCGGGAGGCGTGGGGCCTGTGCTGTCGCTTGGGGCCCTGAGAGCAGCGGACCCCCGGCCCCTCCAGGGTCACTGGGGCCGATGCCGCCCACGGCTCCCCACTCCTGCGCTGCCTCCTCCTGCCGGAACAGCCCTGCTCTCCTCCTCCAGACAGCACTTCTCACTCAGCCTGGCCCAGCCTGGCGGGGGCGGGCCGCAGGCAGCCGTGGGCCAGCCTGGGAACGGCACCCCGGAAGAGCGCGGCACCCTCGGCCTGGCCTCACGCAGCCTGCCACCTCCTCTCCCTGTCCGCCCACGCGGGAACAGCCAGTGTTGCCACCCATGGCTAAGGGCGCGTGTGCCCAGGAGGCGCCCCCTGCGGTGCCCACCTCTCCCAGTGCCTAGCCTGCCCGGGGGCCCAAGCCCGTCCTCGCCTGTAGCACCCCCCCAGCCCCGACAACTCAGCCCCGGGCCCACACTGCGTCTCTCCTGTAAAACCCCCAGGCTCTCCTGGAGAAAGGAGGGTGGATGTTTGTTTCCTAAAGTTCATGATGCGCGATTCATGTGTGAGGGTTCTCAGGATTGCTGGGGGCTGTTGAGAAAAGGAATGTGTTGAGTCTGTTGTCCAGTTGTTCTCGAGGTCTGGTGTCCTGTTACTGTCGTGTGTGTCTGCAGGCAGAGCCCGTTCTGGAGGGCAGGTCGGTGCATGGGAGGCTCAGGGAAACCAGAGCGCCCGTCCACCCACTGGCTCTACGTCCAGATAGTGTCTCTTGAGTTTGGGTTCTTGCATGTAAAATATTCCGCAATAAACAACAAACAAACGACTCCTCTGTGATCTCCATGGCGTGGGCTGTGATGGCCCAGGGGTGACCGGAGCCGACCACCCGCTATCGTTCAGCGGGAGCTGCCGCAGGGCCCTCACGGTGGGGACAGCCTGGGAAGCCCATTGCAGGCCCTGCCCCACGCCCAGCTGCTGGGGGAAACCCACACCCGGGGCATCACCTGGCTTGGGAGCACAGGCTGCGGCAGGCATGAGGCCAGCACAGCTGTCCGGGGGCTCTAGAGCGGGCTGTGGCCCTGGGTCTCCTCAGTCCCAGTGCCAGGGAGACACTCGTCCCCAGCTGGAGCATCGAATACCCTGAGCAAGCAGGCCTGAGACACCACCACACCTGGGCTTCCCGAACTTGGCTGGGCCTTCACATCTTCTGCAGACCTTGTTAGGTGCTCAGTTTGACAGCTGCTGTTTCAAGCGCCACCCCACCCCCTTCAGTAACAGCTTTATTGAGATGTAATTCACATAGCAAACAATCTCTGGTATGAAGTATATAATTAGGTACTTTTTAGTATGTGCAGAATTGTGCAACCCTGAGCACCATCGGTTTTAGGGCATTTCCATCCCCAAAGAAGCCCCTACTCGAGCAGTCGTTCCCACCCCCACCCGCTCTCCCTTTCGAGAAGTCTGCTGTGCAGGGAGCGGGGCGCTCTGGGTGCCGGTGCCAGGCCGTGTCCTCCTGCAGCTATCTCAGCGGGCCCTTGGGGGACGCGGGCTGTGGAAGCCACGAGGGGCCTGCCCCTTGAATCCCTTCGCCTTCCTGGGTTGGAGGAGGGACCTCAAGTGGGGCCGATTCATCAAATACCCAGGGGACCCTGGAAGCAAGCGCAGCGGCACCTGCCCAGCCTCTCGTGCGCAGGTGAAGGTGAGGTTTGGAAAGAGCCATGCACTCGCCAAGATCATGCGGAGGGGTGGGCAGGAAAGGCACCGGCCCCGTGGCCAGCAGGTGAGGCTGCCCACCCACCCTGAACCCCAGCCCTGGGGGAGGGGTGTAGCCGAGGAGAGAGCTGCCCTGCCTGCTGGTAGGGTCGGGGGTGGAGGGCCGCAGTGCGACAGGCACCAGCCCAGGCCGGAAGTGGCAGCACCCAGCTTCCTGCAGCCAGGCGTTTCCCCAGGCTCCAGGGACCCGCAGAACCCCCGCTTTGTTTCCAGCCAGTCGGGGGAAGCTCAAGTTCCCCCTGAAATGTGGAGACCGGCCAGCCCTGGGCCCTGTGCCTAGAAGGCATGCACCCTAGCCCCTTTCTGTGCCCCTGGCCCTGCTGAGGTGCCGTGGGCGCTGCGAGGGGCCTGAGCCGTGTCCTGTCCCGTGGAGGGGACTGGCCGTGAGACCGCCCGTGGACGCGTGCCTTCAGCCCACATCCCTGGGACCCCACTCTGAGCTGGGAGAACAAGGGGCTCCAGGCCTGGCTCCGTTCCCAGAATCAAGAGCGCCCTGCAGCCAGATGAACTGGCGCCTCTTCCGGCGCTGTGGAAGGGAGGCTGGGGCGCAGGAGGCCGCCCGCCTCGGCCGAGGGACGGCAACCGGGTGACAGACCTACCCTGCCAGTCTCCTCGAGGGGCCCTGGGTGGGCACTTGCCAAGATGCATTTTC